CCATGGCTCCTTTCTTCACCAGGTTCCCTGCTCATGGGGAGGAGGGATCTCCTCTGCCTTCTCCCCCCACCTCAGCAGCTCTCCTGCTCCTCTGGAGCTCCCTTTGGAGCCCAGCTCCCTCCTCCCCGGGGTGCAGCTCTCCTGGACTCTGGTTCCATCATCCCTGTCCCCAGCCCTGGGGCAGGAGCAGCCCAGCCCCAGCACCCTCAGCAACCAAAGGATTGTTTGGGGATGGTCCTCCTCGTGTTTCAAGGTTCTTATTAAAGAATCATGGAATGGTTTGTGTTGGAAGGGACCTTAAAGCCAATCCAGTGCCACCCCTGCCATGGCAGGGACACCTTCCACCATCCCAGGGTGCTCCAAGCCTGGCCTTGGACACTGCCAGGGATCCAGGAGCTTCACTGGGCACCCTGTGCCAGGGCCTCACCACCCTCACAGGGAAGAATTGCCAGTTTAGCTCTGAATAGGGTGAATTTTGCAAGCTCTTTTGTCCAATTCCTCCACTGACAAATGTCATTTCCCCCCCAATTTTGCTGTTAATTGTTATCGTCAGCATTTTTATTCTTGGCTAAGAAATAAATCTATAAGAAAAGAAATCCAAGAAATCACATCAGGCTCTTTGGAACATAAAATCACACTCAGAGGGAGAGGACAACCTTCTTCTTGACAGCTCCTGGTGTTGTTTTGGACCACCTGGGGAAAAGCAGAAGCTCGAGGTAGAGCAGGCACATCCACATCCAGGCTGGGATCACTTTTCCCTTCACATCCTGACTGCTCCCAGTCCCACCCATGGAAATGGAATTGCCATATGGAAATGCCATGCTGACAAACTCCTTCAAAAGAGGAGGAAAAGGCTGTATTGGATCCTCCCACCACCTTTTCTTTGCCTTGATCCCCGATTTTACTGCTGTGACTGTTGCCCTGATTAAGTTTTTCTGAGCCTTCTGATGTTTACACTCTTGTAACAAACTTTCTCACACCCTTTCTGTAAATAACTCATTGTTTTGCATTCTTTTATGGAGGAGGAGAAATTTGATAGACTGTTGGTTTGTCCAGTGTCATTGGAGGGGTGGCACTGTCACCCTCCAATCCACTGTCACTTTTGGAAATCCATAAATGTTGGAGTCAGAAATTAAAAATTCTTTTTTTACCTTGTGAGAGCTGCGTGCCCGTGTTGTGTTATTTGGTGTCCTATAGTGACAAATGAGATTCTGCCACTGATGGCCTCCCTGCTCCTCACACCAATTAGGCTCCACAAGGCTGGATCCTGAGGGATCTGCCTGGTTTTCCAACCCCAAACCCCATCACAGAATCTCAGCAAAACCCCAAAGAGCCAAAACCCAAACCTGAGGCGCTCTGAGGAAATGAGTGGAGTTGGAAGCTTGAGGCTTTCCTCCCAATGCTTAAGAAGTAATTTTCCATGGGAGTTTAGTTTTCCTTAATCCTCTTTGAGATGCCTGGCAGGCATTTCTGGGGAGTCCTCTTTACTTACAGGGTAACCACAGCCCCTCTAACGACATGGGAATCACTTGGTGGGGATTAGATGATTACATGGTCAGCAGTGGGACAGCCAAGCTGGGAAAGGACAACCTAGATGACAGCTAAATAGAGTGTAATTGTTGTGTTCCTTAACTCAAAATGCAATTTACTCATCAGTCTTGGAGCACTGCATGTTCTGTGTGATTTAATGCAACGTTTGGGTGATTCCCTGGGGGTGGCTCCATGCAGACAAAAAGCTTTGCAAGAATTGAGGTCCCAGCCCTGCCCCACGTGTGGTGCCTGCATCTCCTTCTGCCCACAGCAGAAGCTTCACATTTTGGCTGTGTCTGACCCAACACAATCACAATATGTTTTGCAAGCATGAGGCAGTAAAGGCAGACATCTAAAAAAGGAAAGTTTTATTGGAGGCAGTGCTGGGAGAGGCCCAGAAGACCCCGTGCCCCACATCCCTGGGACAGCAAGGGGGGAATATCTCTGTGGAGTGGCCCTACTGATCCTGGGTGGGAAATGCAAGCACAGAGAGCCCCCAAGGCCTTGAGCATGCAAGCTCAGAGATAGAGATGGATGCAGTGCTCGACCCAAGCCCTAGAGAAGGCTTGGAGCTTGAGAATAGACTAGTGAAACAGACATGAAATAAGAATAAAGATTTGTAGTTTAAGCAGAAATATGTTTTGAACAAGTAGATATAGATCTCACATAAGTGAATAAATATACTAAGCAAGATAGCAGAATACAATTAAAGTTTAGCAACAGGACTTGTTATAGAGTTGATAAAAAGTAGAAGATACAGCAATAAGTTTCTGTAGAGTCATATGATTGGACAGAAAAAGATGCATTGGGGTTAATCATCTAAAACTTAGCAATTAGCAATTGGTAATGAAGATGTTAGCAAGCTTTGTGGAAGGTGCTGATTGGATGAGAAATTTATAAAAGACATTGTAATTAGAATTATAATGGCTTCTGATGCAAGGCCTCTAATGTATGGTTCTAAAGTGATGGCTTTGGGTGTGACAGCCTTACAGTCTCACCCTTCCAGGAGACTGATTTTGCAATAAACCACCTTTTAAACACCTCTTCAGCCAACCCCATCTTTCTGTGTCCTGAACAATCCTGCTGCCTTTCTGTGCCTTTGCAGGGTGTCCCTTGGTGTCCCTGCCACGTGGGATAGGCTGGGGACACCTGGGCTCCTTTCATGTTCTTCCTGCAGTGATCCTGACCAGGCTGGGGACACCTGGGCTCCTTTCATGTTCTTCCTGCAGTGATCCTGACCAGGCTGGGGACACATCCTTGGCTGCTTTCCTTCCCTGCTCTTCCTGAGGTGACCCTGGCCCAGGCTGGGGACACCTCCTGGGCTCCTTCCATGCTCTTCTTGCAGTGATCCTGGCTCAGCAGCCACACAGAGCCAACCTCTCTGTTGGTCTTCCCAGCTGCAATCTCTTCATTGCTCTGGAGCTGATTTTCCCACCTGGTTTCCAGTTCCCAAAGCATCTCCCCTCCTTCACCAAGGCTGGGACACAACCCCACAGCTCCCTGGGCCAAACACCTCCCACCAGCCTCCCTGCCCTGGGAACAGGGTGGAAGTTCCACCTCACTGGGCAGTCCCAGTGCCACCCCAGCACCCACCAAGGTCACTCTGAAATCTGCCTTGATGGGAAGGTGACCCCAGGAGAGCAGGGCCCTGGGGGACCCAGGCAGTTGTGGAGCAGACAAGGCCACAGCTCAAGCTCAAGCTCAGCCCATCCCTACCTTCCCCCTTGAGATGCTGCACATCCTCTGCTACAGCAGAAATCAATAACAATTCAATTATAGGCATCGACTTGAAGCAAAAAAATCAGGTAAAACCACCCCAAACCTGAAAATACATTAAGAATAGGTGGGCACTCCCTTGCCATTGAGAGTGTGTGGTATTTATTAGCCATAAAGTGGCACACAAAAATGGGAGAGCACAGCTAGGTAGGGATTATTTTTTTCTCCTTAGCTCCAAGGCTTTGGGTACTTGTCTGTATTCCCTCCCAGATCAGAATTCCCAACATTCCCACCCACATTCCCAGAGGCTCACACGCAGGTATACCTCTTTAGTTAATTAGAATTACTTTTAATTAAAAATATATGTAAATTATATAGAGTGTGCACAGCTTGGAGAGAAAAAAAAAAAAGAAGAAAAGAAAGCAAATTTCCATTTCAATAAAAATTTGAACCTCTTGGAATCAGCTGCTCTTGTGACATCCTTGGAGTTATTGGAAATCCCACGTATAAATAAATAGGACCAGGAAATTTTACACCTGAAATATTCTGCAGTAGACATTTTTCCTTGCACAATTTTGCTTTTCCTTCTTTTTTTGCCTCCACCGCTCCCAGTCTCTCATGATCACTTTCTGCCCCTTTTAAACACATTTATTTAATATCTCACTTCACGCACCCAGACTGATATCCCTTTTTTTTTTATTCCTTTTTCTTTTGGAGAGGAAGCAAAGGAACACAGGAGAAAATGAAAGCCTGGGATTGCAAACAAGCGTCATCATCATTTTGGTGAGCAAACTTTTTCCTCTCAGTGTCTGCATCCTCTCCCCCCTCTCCCCCTGTGGCAGCTGGCTCAGAGCCTGGCTTTCCACATGCTGCTAAAAATCCAGCAGGACTCAAGCTGGGGATGTTTGCAAGCTTGGAAATAACCCCATGCTTCTGTCAGAGACGGCTGAAGGACCAGGAAAGACCAGGAGATGGGAAGGGAAGAGGAGTGAGAGAATTACAAATGGGAAAGGAGATGAGGGAACAGTTTATGGAATGGTTCCTGGAGAGAATTTTGGGGAATTTGTAAGGAAACACAACTCCCTGTGGGAGTAATTTCACTCTTGGTACAATGCCTGGGTGAGGTAGGTACTGGATTTATTTATTTGGGGGTTCTCAGTACCTCTTTCTGTTGAAAAGTAAAGATAACACTACCTAAAAAAAAAAAAGAAACACCACTCCAAAATTCACCCTCGGTAAAAAGGGCCGGTGTCTTTTTTCTTTTTTTTCTGAGAAAATGGAAAGAAAAAAATATATATTATTATTTATTATATAACATTGTCAACATCAACACCACAAAAAAAAAAAAAAGTAACATCCTAATTGTTCTCGTTCAAGCATTCTGACCATGGTGAGAAAGGCAGCAGGAGTTTGGTGTCCCTTGGAGAACAAAAAGAGCAGAAGGGCAGGGGGGGACGAGGGTGGTGGCAGCAACACAAACTGGGTGGGACCGTGGAGGGACAGAAGTGTGCTGGGCTGTTGGCTTTTCTTTTGAAACAAAAGAAAACAAAAGGGGGGTCAGGGCAAGTCACGGCGAGGCCGATGGCTCCCAGCCGTGGTTTCAGTCAGTGTCCGTCCCTCTCGAGTGCTGGCGGTGAACATTCACTTCAAGGAGTCTTGCAGAACGCTTTGTTATCAACAGGGGGATTCTTTTCCTTTTCCTTCTCCCATTTGCTGGGATTTTCCCGTGGCTCTGGCATTCCCTGCCCCCCTGGTTAGCTGTTCTCACTCCACTCTGGCACCATCCCCACGCCGTGCACCGAGTGGTACTGGTGGGGCGACAGGGTTCGAGGCACGCCGTGGGAATAGAGGAATTCTGCCGGCTGGAGGCTGCTGGGAGGGGACTGGATGCCCGTTTGAGGTCCACACTGCCTGACGATGGGCTGGTGAGAGCTTTGGTGCTGGAACATGCTGTGGGTGTCTGCGATTTGGGGCGACGTGTGGTTGGCCACGCTGCCCAGGCGGGGCATGAGCGGCCCCGAGGTGAAGTGGGCAGAGAAATGCTGGTAGGGTAACCTGTCCATGGGCTGCATGGCAGACACTGTGCAACTGCTGTACGAGGGCACGCTGGGCCACGTGTTACAGCTGATGTCCTCCAGGCTGGGCACGGGCTCCGTGGGCGGCGCAGAGCTGGCGTACATGCAGGCCTGGCGCTGCGCCGACTCAGTCCTGTACGACGTGTTCAGTCCCTGCTGCTGAGGGTAGCTGGACCTGTAGAAAGGGTCCTCGTCTGCTGGAGAGGTTTCCATGTAGGGCTTCTTGTAGGGATGCTCGGTGGTGGAACATTCCTCATCTGTTGGGAGAGAAAAGGCCTGGTAACCACCAACGATAACGTGCCCAAGGCTGAACCTCCCTCTCTGCAGTCCTGGTTTTACTGAGGACAATCTGACACTTTCCTTGGTGTAAATTCCCATCATTTCCCTGGAACTGATCTCAATCTATCCTGTGGAAACCAAGCCTTGCACTTGGCCCTCTCTGCTAGAGCAGGGAAGGGATTATCCAGGAGCTCTGGGAGGAAAATCAAGATGCTGGAGGGATCCTGAGGTTTATCTTCCTTGGTGATCCCCCCACATGCTCCCCCATCTCCTTCCTGCTGCCACTTTTACCTGAGGAATAACATCTGCCTGTGACCTCTGTACCCCTGTCCCCCAGGAGGCTCAGAGCTGATGCTGTCAACTCAAATCCTTTACAACAAAATGTTTCCATGATAAAGTATAAATGATAAAAAGAGACAAAAAAGGAGATCACAATAAAAATCCTCCCAAGAGAGCACCAGCGATGGCACGGTTGGGACAATCAGATTTGGAGTTTGACAGCCCCAGCCTTTAGCTGTGCCAAGGCAGCTGGGCACATAAATCCTCACAGGGCTGTGGGCACATAAATCCACACAGGGCCATGTGCTGGAGCCAAGGGGAACAAAGGAGAAAAGTAAATTTCACAGCTAGAAACAACAAGGCACATCTTGCAGAGCCCTTTGTTTCCTGCAGCATCCCAGGCCAGCAGAGGGAAGGAGATAAACAATTTAGGTGAAATCTCCAGGGTGAGGCCAAATGAATAAATGAATGTGCACTTATTTATTCATTCACAGGGTCATCAAATGAAATCCAACTCTGCTGGAATGGATGGCAAAATTCCCAGGGATGAGCACTTCACCAAGAGATTTTAAGGACAGTGTGGCAAGGGAAGGGGAGTTGTTCTGACATGGATTAACTTTGCTGCTGCTGCTTCAAAAACAAGATTTCTGGTGCAGGCAGGAAAACATCCCACTTGGTTAGAGCTGTCCTGGCTGCACCCTTTGAACAGGGGTCAGATTTGAAAGAAATTTGGAACAAGTTACCCTTTACAATTTTTCTCCACCAAGGTGTTTTGAGCTGTAATTTTTTCCACCCCCAAAATCCAGTGGGGAAACAAACCCCAAGCAGTTGCACAGAAAGGAGGACTAAGAGCATATGCCCCACAAGAGGCACAGAGGTGTTGCTGCCAGGCTGCTCTGAGGGGAATGCTCTTGTCACACTTTCAGGAGGGGCAGGTGGGCAGTGCAGGCATCTTTTGTTTCATCTAAACACACACACATAACCCTTATTGCCCTGACAGCCACGAGGGCTCTCCTGGAAGCTGCACCCTCTCTGCATGTAAAACAACCCCTTGCTCCCACCCAGGGGTCTTCAGAGTCCAGCTGGAACAACTGCTGCTGTCCATCCTGGTCCCACAATCCCACAAAGAGCAGGTCCTGAGGAACACCATGGGGACATCCCCACAGAGGCCTTTGGCTCTGGAATAGCATAAATTCAGCTGGAAAGCCACAGTCCCATTTTGTTCTTCCTGACAACATCAAAGCCTGGCTCCTTCACCTCAGCAATGCAGAGCCCTGATTATCAAGTTGCTCCTCTGCCTTCCCTGTACACTGGGGTGGGAAGCAGGATGAGATAAATGAGCAATTCCATCCCATTTTTGAAACCAGCTGAAACAATGAGCAGGGAGATGCAGGAATGTGTCATCCTCCTCAATCCAGCTCAGGTCCAATTTATGTAGGAGCAGGGGACAGGATGGGGTGCCCTGAAAGCCAAAAGCTGGAGGCACAGGTGTAACCTCTCTCCTGATCTCAGCTCCATGACAGGAGGTACATCTGGAAGAGCAGCCTGAGCTGGAGCTTTTATGGACAGTGTAAAAAGTTTGGATTCCTGACCCACCGCTGAGTAATAAGAACACTGGGGTGGAAAAACAATGTCTTGTAAAATGCAGCATTGTTCTGCTAATAAAGTTTTCAGCATTAAACCGCATCACTCTGCTGGCACCAGAAATCATTGGCTTGGGGTTTGACTGTTTATTTTATTTTGATTTTTTTAAATATACAACACAAACCAGTCAAACTCTGTTTTTCCATGGTGTAAAACAGCCTGACTTACAACCTGAGCTTGCTGATTTTTCCATTTAGCCCAGACATTTCACTGCCTGCCACAGCCCAGCTGGGCAGAACTGCAGTGTCACAGAACCACTTCCAGAATCTATCACAGGTGAAGAGAAAACAACAAAGCCAACCAGGATTTCACCCCATAAGTGCCCTCTGACCTTCTGTAAGCTCTCAGGATCACTCTGCTGGTCCCCCCAGAGCCAGGTTCCCTGAGGTTTTATGTGGAAAGGGATTTTAAGGTGTTTAAGGACCTTGTTCCCATCTCCAAACAGGGCCTGGGCACTAACAAAGGGTTCCAGGCTGCCCTAACATCTTCTGCCTGTCCTCCTGCCCTTCTTCCCAGTGATTTTCCCATTTATGGAGCCTCAAAGTGCTAGAGAGGAAAGAGAATGGTCCATGTGCATCCTGAGGTGGGATGGTGCAGAGCAGAGAGCCTCAGCTGGAGCTGCCTGGGGGATTTACAGCAGTCCATGCTCTCTGGGCTTGTCCCACCCCTCCTCACAGAGGAGATCAGAGCCAGCACAGAGCAGCTGCAGGGCATCCCCAGGGTGTGTGGAGCAGCTTTAGGGTGGAAAGGGGACGTCTTCAATGACAAAAGGAGCACAAGACCAACAGGTCTCTCATGCAATGCCAAAGGCTGCAGTTTCAATTCATCCTCACGGGCTCTGGAGCCTGGACAGTGCAGCTCAAGGGAGAATCCTGTCCCCTGAAGGTCCTCTTACCTCCTCCTATCAACATAAGCAGGACACTGGCAATATGTAACTGCCTGCTCAGGGTTTGATTCCCTGACAGCAGCTCCTTGTCCTTTTCCAGGTGCCACTGAGCCCTCAGAGGAGCTGTTTGCTATCCTGGGAGATATCCTGACCATCTCCCCCTGTTGCTGCTATTCTTGGAAGCCAAGGGTGGTGATCAGCTCTAGGGAGCAGCCCCTCGATGCTGCACAAACCTCAAAAAGCAGGAGGTGCTGCCAAGCAGGGGGAGCTGCCAGCGCCAGGGAGAAGCTGCTCTGAAGTGAATCCAAGGAAAACGGAGCCTGAAGAATGGGCTGGAAACTGGCTCCCTCACAAGGAATTTGATGATCTATCTAATGAAGGAGCTCGAGCGAGAGCACGAGCGCTTCCAAGATTTCCGGTATTTACTACTTCCAGCTGGGCTGTAAATACCACGCAAATGGCTTTTTAAATGGAATTTTCCCAATTCCGAGATTCAGGCCACGTAGAATGAAATGCAAACATGGAAAGCCTCTGGACTTCAGGGTGTGCTGGGCCTCCCTCTTCCCCCTTGGTGTAAATCAGGAGAGCTCATCTCCCCAGGGTGGAAGACAATGAAGAATGGGACATGACTCCTTTGGTTTTCAAATCTCACCCGCACTTCCAGGGCGTTACAGGAGGTTCATCCTGACTTTGTGAGGGCCACACAATGGGTGATTATCACTAACTCTGTTGTTTTATCCAGTCTGGATTCCAGCACGGATCTGGCACAGGCCTGAAGAGCCAATACCAGGCTGCAAGAGTGACAAAGGTTGTCCAAGAAGAAAAGGACAAGGCAGATTCAATCAAAATGAACATCTCTAAAGGAGAAATAAGTCCTAAATCCTAGGACATGGAACTTAAGACATGCCAGCCACTCCAGCTCCATCTCACTGTCTGTGATATGGCTGTGTTGTACTGAACACGACAGGGCTGTGGGACAGGGACAATCCAGCCCCCAAAAGCTGGAATCTTTTCCACAGGCAGCAAGCTGCCAGCACTCCCTGCAGAGGCACAGCAGGCACCTCTGACAGGAGAGGGAGTTCAGAGAATGGCCAGCTTGGAAGGGACCACAGTGGCTTATCTGGTCCAACCTCCCTGCTCCAGCAGGGTCATCCTAGAGCACATGGCACAGGATTGTGTCCAGAAAATTCTGGAATATCTCCAGAGAGGAGACTCCACACCCTCCTGGGCATCCTGGCTGGAAAGATGTCCTTCCTCATGTTCAGGTGGAACCTCCCAAGCATCAGTTCCTGCCTGTTGTCCTGCTGCTGGACACCATGGAGCAGAGCCTGGTCCATCCCCTGGCACCTCCCTGCAGGCACTGATGGAGTCCCCTCTTAGTCAAGAATGGCCCAGCTCCCTCAGCCTTTCCTCATTAGGGATATCAAACTACAGTGCCACAAGAGTGTGGCTGCTCAGCAAGACCTGGGTGCAGCCCAGCTCCCTGAACATCTCCTCCCCATGCAGGGAGTCCCTTGCTCACCCTCAGTGTCCCACAGCCACCCTGCCCTGGGCTCCACTGCATCTCTCCAGCTGCAGCACAGCTCGAGCCTTGGGCAGCTCATCTCATCTCCAAACATCAGCAGGGTGAGCAGTGTGTCCTCCAAGGAGACAGCCCATGCCTGAGTTTTGTCCTACAGATTCTTTGAGTGAAAAAACAGAGCTGGGTGAGATGTGGCAGAAGTTGGTTCAGTCAACAAAGAGGTCTGTGCACACTGACAGTGCCTGTTCTTGAGGAGAAGGTGGAAAGGCATTGCTGTACCAGCACTGACCTCATCAGAGCAGGAAGGAGATGAAAAATAAATCCTTCCCCAGGGTGATGTCCAAGTCAGGGGGCTGAAGGACACGGTCCTCACCGGTTGGAGCCAGTGGATTCTGCCACGTCCCTCTTCTCCCTCAGAGTGCCAACTTGACAACTTTTATAACCTCCCCAGGGAGAGCCTGTTCCAGTTGCCTCCTGTTCAGCATCACAAGCATCCCAGAAATCTGCCAAGTGGTTGGGATTGTGTAAGGCTGGGAGGGAGCAGAGGTTTAGAGGGATGACTATTTAGTCCACAGGATATCTGAGAGAGAGGATAATACAAGGGAAAACCAGGCCCAGTATCCGAACTGGGATGTGGGGCTAAATGAAAGACACAAGGCAAGCTGCCTGCTGGTGAGGCCTTTTGGGCTTCTCCAAGCACAACAATGGGAGAGGGAGAGGTGGAGAACAACCGGAAAAAAAGACAAAGCTCCAACTGCTGTTTGTGTCAGCCTAAAAATCCACATCAAGAGCTGAGACCACTCCTTGATGAGACCCAGGGTTGAAGGTAGTCCATCCTCTCAAGACCAGTGACTTTGTCATGTGCCATCAGTAATCCCAGTATGGGGCTGGGATGCAAGGCAGGATGATCCATTCCCCATTCCTGGAACACTGACCCCACTGCAGTGCACTGGGGTCATTCCCAATGCTGTGACCCTGCCCTCCCACCTGCACTCCAGGAATCACCAGATTAGGAGCTCTGGGATGTGTCCTTCCTTCCTTCCTCAGCCAGGAGAGCATCACCTCCCTAAGCAGGGGAGCCTTCAGAGATAACATCCCCTGGCAGCCCCGCTGCTCTCCCCTAATGTAATTCCATATCAGATCTCCACAGTGAATCCATCTTGCCTTGACAGCTAAGAACAACACTGCCAGCCACAGAGACTTATCCTTGCCTTAGGTCACCAGGAAAGCAGAAGTTGAACAAGGTTCCTTTGAGTTGGGTGAACACAGACCTGTCCCTAAGTGAGCCTAACCCAAGGCTTGGCTCTGATTGAAGAGGAGGCAGAGAAAGTTCAGGAGATGTCAAAGCTGGAAGGAGACTGGCTTGGAATTCACCCCAGAAGATGCAGACAGCAGCTGGTCTCAAAGCCAGCTGAACTGCCCTCTGCCCCCGAGAGCACTTATCCGTAACCACAGCCTTGGGAAAGGAAATAATCCGCTTGAGATAAATCCTAAACTGCCTGAGGAGGAGTCAGTGCTTGGGGAATGGATAGTCCAACACAATCAATAAGATTTCCAGTCCAGAAAATGGACAGAGGGACAGTAGGAACAGATAAACTCTTGCTTTTGAGTTTTCTGAGGTGGTGAGGCTTGTTAACTGTTAAGCACAAATGTAGGAAAGCAGGAGAACTGTGAGGGATAACTCAGAAATGAGAGGCTGGAACAGCAAAAAAAAAAGAGGAATATCATACATAGGATTATTTTCCCATGTCCAACAAAGATCCTTGCTGGTGCTGGAAGGAAGTTCCACGCTCAGTGACATGAAACCTTGGATCACTCTCTGATTTATCCAACCCGAATCGCTCATCTCTGGTGATTTTTTTTTCCTTTTAATTAATTTCACTTTGCAAAGAGCTGCTTGGCAGCCCAGGCTGGCTCTCTGGTTCCCATTAACTTTGTGTTTCTTTCCTCTAAGCCCTGGTGGCTGTTTTCCATTTACCAAAGGCACGGGGAGGGGAGAGAAGAAGGCTCAGGGAGGAGAGCGGAGGCTCAGGCTGCTGGGACACCCAGCCTCGAGGAAGAAGCCGCTGGTGTCGGGCAGGACGCTGCTCCTCTTTGATTAAAGCCTTTGGCGGCTCTGATAAAAGGCCCTTAACTGCTTGTGCCACTCAGGGCATGGCAGAGATAAGGAGGGGAGACGAGGCCTCTGCGGGCCTGTCCCCGCACTGGGCCGCGCAGGCCAAGAGGGCCGGGGAGCTTTATTCCAGGGCAGATAGCCGTGCCTTTTGTGACAATAAGAGGAAGTGAGATAATTGGGGGATTGAGGGAAACCACCCATGGAGACAGCACTTAGCGGGAATCCCAAAACTGGAAGGAAACCTCTGTTGGTTCCTTATCACGTTCTGATGTGGAGGCGAATGATGAATTGCCCCGCGGGGCAGGGACACGCAGCAGGCAGGGATTGTCCCAGGGGCTGGTTGTCATTTGGGCCAGCTTGTTTTGGTTAGTTTTGTAAAAGGGGGAAGAGCAGAGGTGAGAGCTCAGCTCTGGGGATGGAGGAGCTGAGAAAGGGCTCCCAGGAGCTGCAGCTCCAAGCGCTGAGGAGGGATCACAGGGATCACCTTCCAGCACCAGCAGTGGGGCTTTGCAGCAGCCCAGCACCTCACCCCACAGCAGTGCAAGGGTTAAACAGGCCACACACCCCCCTCTGACCTGGGGGACACTTTGGGCATCTCCTTATTCCCTGCCTTACAGCCAGCATGCCCATTTCCAATCCCTGCTCTGGCACATTCTATGTGAGCACAGTCACCTGGAGGGGACAGAAAATGCCACCTGTTTTCCACTGTTTACCTCAGGAAAATATTAGGATTTCTTTCTATTAGGATTCGGTTATTTTTTTTTTACTTTGCATACCTGTACACAGCCCACGTGCTCCTACAATATCTGGGGGATTCACCAAGGACATGGGAGAGATTTCCACTGCCCTCCTGCCTCCTCTGCCAGCACTTCCCAGCCCTCCCTACCTTAGACTGTGTGTCTGCACATCCCAGTGCTCCAGGGGTTATGTTGCTAAAAATAATGACATGTGTCTGACTGATAGGGTGGTGCAGGGAAGCGGGAAGGGCTCTGCTGTGGGGAGAAATTCCTGCTGCCTTGGTGCTTGCTGCCTTCTGGTAGCTTCTCCATAGAGGAAATCCCAAGAAGGGCAACAGGGTTGGCAGAAACCAGCTCCTGCCCACCCCTTGTTGCATCCAGCCCTGGAAATCCCCTATTTGTTTCCAAGTAAAACTGATCTAAAGCTTTTGCTATCTCAGTCCTACAAGTAGTGCTGCTTTGAAGCATTCCCATTGCTCTGGGAGAGGAGGGGAGAGACCACAGACCCCTCATGCCTGCCCAGAACAATTATCCCAGCACTATCAGGGGGCTCTTCCCAGCAGGATGAGCTGAGCAGCCACTGGAAAACCCTCACAGTTTGATCTCTAAAGCTCCTAAAGGACCATGGGTATCATGGGTTTCAATGCCAGGCCTGAGCATTTCTGCAGACAGAAAACTGTCTCCCAACTGAGAGACAGCCCTGAGTTGAAAACTGGGCAAAATACAAACTGTCAAGGTATCTCCACTTGGAGATTAACCCTGTCTGAGGGGCTGCAGATAAGTCATCTTTATCTCCAGCACCAGCTATCTTTCCAAATGTGGATTCATGGTGGGTGAAAGGCACTGCCAGCCCTCCAAACAGCTCATTCCCAACCCAGCAGAAATGGGATTTTAGAGTTTCCCAGCCCACAACCCTCACGCCTTGCTCATCCTCCAGCATCATTTGTTGCATGCTATTTTTGCCAAAAAATCAACTACTGGAGGAGGGAGACAAAGGAAAATATTTTCTCACTGAATATCTAAAATACTCTCTTTCTTTCACTTTGATGTTTTTCTACCCACAAAGGCAGTTATCCTTGGAGCTGTCCAAGGGGAAACATCAGGGAACAATGCTGACAGTCATGTTGGGAGGGGGAAAACACGCAGCAGGGAGCAGGCAAGCTCTGACCTTTTCTCTTGGTGCAGTGGTAGATCTGGCCGTGCTCCTGGGAGATGGGGTAGGGGTTGGCAGGAGGCAGCAGGTCCTGGGAGGTGCTGGACACCCCATTCTCACACTGGTACTGGGAGCCCAGGTTGGAGGAGGCAGAAAGGACCCTGGTCTCACCGCTGAAGGGGCTGTGATTCGAGGACACTTTTTGTCTCACTGTGCTCCTGGGAACAACCGGGTACTCTTTACTACAAGCAAAGAAACAGAAGAGGAACAAGTCAGCAAAGCAATCAATTAATAAATAGATCAGAGGATTAATAAATGAAGGCAGCACATTAGTGTCATGGAGTTTGTTTAGGCTTTCAGGGAAATGCAGATACCCCTCCCTGGAGGCTGCAGGCCCGTCACACTTTATCCATGCAGAACTTGTTATTCCCTTTCCTTTTAGTCCCCTTAAATTCAACCACCACTATTTTATACACACACATAAAATACATAAATGCAGTTTCAGCAAAATAAACATGGTTTCTATTTACATATTGTAGCATTTATAAGCTACATACTGTTTGTAATGTATTTGCAATATGCACATGCATGTAAATAAAACCAGCATTTCTGCCAAGCTGACTTGGAAATTAATTAAATATTTAGGTCTACTTTTTTCCCCTTATAGCAGCTGTCCCCATTCCTTTTGCCTGGAGCCTCCAGCCTCCCTAGATGGGAGATCCCTGCACCACAGACCTAACTCAGAAAAGAGAAATAAATAAATGACTGGGATTTGATGCACACCAGAGCCTCAGGATGGGAGGGAAAGCCTGGAATGTTCTCTTGCCCCCAGATCTGGTTTGAAGTCAGGATGCTTTGCCAACACAGGCTGGAAATCCCCTCTCCTCAAAGTCCCTCTGGTGTTTTTTGGAGATGTTTCTCCAAACACATGGGCAATGTGACTACCCCAAAGGTGATTCCTGCTCTGCAGGGAGAGCTGAAGATGAACAGGGGGTCTCAGACACTGCAGGTGAGGTAAAAGTCTCCTCCTGAACCCAAAGGCTTGCTAAAATGCATAAAGATCAGTTAGTACAGCACCACAAAGTGTCACCAGGCTCAGAACAGCCACAAAGTGCTGATTCCAACACAAGTTTTCTCCTCTGAGTCTGCAACCATCGGACCAAGCTGGCTTTGAGGTACCCCCCTCACCTGTCCAAAATCACTGCGCTGGAGCTCCTTAAATACCATCCACAGGCTCACCTGGCCTCTCCCATGCAGAGGAAGAGCCCTGAACCTGCAGTGACACCCCTCAGGGAGGATCTATCACCATACAACTCAGAACTTATTTACAAAATTTAACAATAGCAATCATATAAACCTAGGCCAGCAGGGAGCTTTCATCCAAACCACTGCTGTACTGGCTGCCAGAAACATCAGCAACCAAGCTGGAATGGAAGGGAAATTCACCCAGGAGCTCAAACCCAAAGAAATGTGGCTCTGGTTGGGCCATGAAAGCTTTCCCAAGCCCAGGAACTGGGGGCTTGCCAAGGACAGCCTGCTCCAAAGGTGGGGTTTCATCTCCTGGAAGCAGCATTTGGTCAGAACTAAAATCCAGGCTGTGCATGAGGAAGAAAAGACAGATGGACCAGGAGGAAGCAGAGATTTATCCCTTGGATAGTGAGGGCAGCAGTGGATACCAGGATTTGTGGTGGCATTCAGAGGACCTGCCTGTGGACACCCAGCACTTAATTCCCCCAGGAGATTTAGCTGGAGCACAGCTTTGGTGGCTTCTGGGGAAGGTCAAGAGCTGTGGCCATCAGACTTCAGGGGTGACCCTCAGATCTTCTGGGTTCTAAGGGATCTCCCAGCCCTCCCAGGTGATAGATTTGAGCTGCCTGTTCCACCTTCACACCGTGATCCTCAATGAAAACTATACCAACATGACACTCCAAGCTGCATCCCTACCTTGTTTCCCTTCCAAGGAGTTCACCTGCAAGGAGGTGACTCCTGGATGTTCCTCCTTAGCTCTCCTTCCTGAGGAGCAGCTGCATAGATTGGCTGGGTTTGTCTCTCTTGGCCCCACACAACCAACATCCAACCCAAAAAATGACAGAGCCTCGTGTTGTTTCCCATGGGAGCCTGAGAGCTCCAGTGGAGGAGAAAGAGGGACATCTCATGGCATGATGCCAGGCCATGTGACACTTAGGAACATCTTTCACTGGTAGATTTGGCCAAAGTGGGTAAATCTGGATGAAATCCTAGAGGTGTTTTGCAGCCTCAGTGATTCCATGACCCTTTTCAAAGGATGTCTCCTTGGAACGTGATCTCCATGGGGGTTTCTGACCATAAATTCTCAGTGGGACCCCATAAAGGTCAGGCCCTCGCTGTGCCAAGCCCCACACAAACAGTGGGGAGCCATCTCCACCTCAGATACTTCTGATCCAAACCAATGGAGAGCTGAGAGCAGGAAAAAGTGAACAACCTGATTAGGGCTTTTATTTCTTGATGAAAAACTATCTTCCTAGAATCATGAAGGTTAGAAGAGACCTCCAAGGTTGAGTCCAACCTCTGATCAACACATTGCCAACTAAACCAGAGCACTGGGTGCCACATCCAGTCATTCCTTGGGCACCTGCAGGGATGGACACTCCACCACCTCCATGGGCAGCCCATCCCAAGGCCTGACCACCCTTCCAGTGAAGAATTCCTCCTGGTGGCCAAAGGGAAGCTCAGCTCCTTTCAGGCCAAGCAGGAGCTGTTTGTCTGCACCAGCAATACTTGAACCCCAAGTGCCAGAGCACAGGGGTGTTGGGTTCCAGATTCCTTCCAGAATTTCCCAGGGGACAGGAGGATCTCCATGGCCAGAAGAGAGGACTCCTGCTGTGGATACAGCAGGAGCTGGGAGTCGCTCAGGAGAGGGAACAGGTTGGAGTCACCAAGTTTCCAAACAGCAATTCCCAGGAGGTATCACAATAACTTCTCTCCAGACTGAAATGTTTCTGTTTCAGTCAAAACATGTTGGGTGCTATTTTTGCCAAAAAATCAGCTACTGGAGAAGGGAGATGAAGGAAAGTGTTTTCTCACTAAATATCCAAATATTCTCACAAATATCCAAAATATTAGCTTTCTTTCACTTTGATGTTTTTCAATTCACAAAGGCCGTTACCTCTGTAATTCTGCATATTTCTCCTTATAGGAGCTGAGCTGAAATAAATCTTTGGTATCTTCTAAAGCAGCAATCATCTCAAAATATTTCTATTTTTTCCTGAGCCCACTCAGCATGGATAGTGCACACCTATCATTTTGAAAGACTGAAGGGCAAACTGAAATGGATCAAATTCTTTTTTTTTTTAAGTCAATATTCCCAAAGTAGTAGCTGTCATCCTGAGCTATAGTTTAATAGAATGAAAGGTTTCTGTCATATCCAGAAATTTCGCTGTCCAAAAAAAAACCTGTAGTGAAGTAAGAAGGGGGAAAAAAATGTATTAAAGCTTGACTTAAGCAATGTAGGAAATTGTCCACAGAGCAAGGATGAGGTTCTTGATGCTTCAGGGCCAAAATGTTAGTTTTACATGGGGTGTTAATGGGCTACTTTCATTTTTGCATTAAAAATTGCAAAACTAAAAGAAATCTTTAAAAAGCTGATTGGGAAAAGAATTTACAAAGAAAAACCTATCCCTGGTCTATTTAAAGTCTGTTGGAGGCTAATAATGAATATTTAGTCAGTATATTAAAATAGCAGAACATGGAGGAGCAGCACAAGGTGCTGTGTAATACTTTGATTTTTGTTAAAACTTGGGCAAAGAAATCATGGATGATGTCCAAGACTATTGATGCTGAAGTCTGGACTCTGTTCTTGCCTCCCACCTGGCCAGAGGTTTCCCAAATCCACAGGGCTGGACAGCAGCTCTGCAGAACTTCCCAGCAGCACCCACATTCAAATTCCTCAGAGAACTGCCACCCTACAGATCAGGTCTGACAAGTGAATCCCTCCTGCAATCCCAGATCTCAAATCCCACCTCTGCCAGGTGGAATTAGAAACACACTCTCATTTTCTCTCATGACAACTTTCCCTTTTCCTGGCCAAGTGATGCTCTCACCACGACAGACTCAAGAGTTTTGTAAGATCACTTCTGCCACCAACTCACAGCCAGCAAAGAATTCAAAGGACCAAATTCAAGATGATTTTGCAATCTCAGAACCAGAAATCTTGTTGGCCACTGCAAATTACTAATAACTGGAAAAATGATAAATTCAGACCTGCACAGAGCAACATCCAGTTCACTTTCTTGCTCATTACTACACTCTAAGAGCATAAAAGTTTTCCATATATTTTCATGTGCAGATGTGAAGTTTCCTGATGTACCAGCCAAGGCATAGTAAATGAAGCTGCCAGACAAAAACCTGGTTAAAAACCTCTTCAAAAATCCACAGTTTAGAATCAGGAAGCTCCTGCATTGAAGCATCCAACCCCTACTGGCCCTAAACAAGTTATTTTAGAAGATAGTCCTGATATTACTGCAACAAAACATTGGATACCTCAAGGCTTTCCAGAGCTGCTGTAGCTCATGGCAACAAGGCTTCAAAAGACTTATTAAATATTAGATCCCAAGGATCTGTTGAAGGTCAGGGTGAAGCATGACATGGGAAAGGATTTCCTTTCCATGTTTTTACAGCAGCCTTGGAAATACCTAAACTGTCTGAATCTTGTTCACAATATGAAATCTTAGTGTAAAACCTGGCCCAAGGATGAACACAGGGATTCCTCCCCACTGTTTCCAAATTTCCAAGAGATTTTAACTCCTCCTTGGGCAGTCCCAACAAAAGGACAATTATTTGTCACCCCATCAGTGCTGTCCCCTCTACCCAGCACAGAATCAACCCCCAATTCCAGATGTGCAAACACAACTCAATGTCTTTGGGGTTTATAGTTCCCAGGCCACCAATTGTTGTCCTTCCTGCTGAGGCTCAAGAGCAGGGAAGGAGTGGAAGTCAGCCATAGCAGACACAGCAAAAAGAAGAAGTGAGGGAAAAAGTGCCTGGAATAAACAGATCATCTCCCAGGAAAAAAAAAAAAAAAATCAAACCAAACCCAGTTGTCAGTGTGCATTCATTTCAGCTGATTTCCAACATATTGAAATAAAATTGAACCACTCTCAGGAGGCTGTCTGGAAGGGGATAAACTAGAGCAGGAAAGGACGTGTTAGGAGAGGAATTACTGAAGACTTCCTGCAGTCTCAGCCCCTGATTAAACACAACCCCTCTCTGTGTGGGGACTGTGGAGCTGCCCCACAGAGAGTAACACCTGAGGCTGGGTGTGCAGCAGCACAAACCAAAGTATCCAATGAGGAATATGAGAGTCTGTTCAGTGCCCCATTCTCCTCCAACACAGCAAATGTCCTGACCTTATGCCAGGACCTGAGGGGCTCCAAGATCCCTGGGCTGGGATGGGAATCTCAGGCAGCTGAACAAGGCCAAGTGCTGGTGCTGTGCTGGGGCAATCCTGGGATCAGTCCAGGCTGGGGATGAAATGATGGAGCAGCCCTGGGGAGAAGGGATTGGGGGTGCTGGTGGGGGAGAGCTGGACAAGCCCCAGCACCCAAAAACCTCCCATGTCCTGGGCTGCCTCCCCTGCATCATGGGCAGCAGGGCAAGGGAGGGCTCTGCCCCACTCAGGTGAGACCCCACCTGCAGAGCTGCCCCAGCCCTGGGCCCAGCACAGGGAGGACCTGGAGCTGCTGGAGCAAATCCAGGAGGCACCAGGATGGTCAGAGGGATGGAGCAGCTCTGCTGGGAGAGCTGAGATTGGAAATTTTCTCTGGAAAAAAGAAGGTTCCAGGGTGACCTACAAGAGAGTTGGAGAGAGACTGTTTACAAGGGGCTGGAGTGACAGGAAAAGGTGAAATGGCTTCACATTGACAGAACAGGTTTAGATGGGATATTTGAAAAAAATCCACCCCTGTGAGGGTGGGGAGGCCCTGGCACAGGGTGCCCAGAGAAGCTGTGGGTGCACCTGGGAGTGTCCAAGGCCAGGCTGGACAGGGCTTGGAGCCACCTGGGATGGTGAAGGTGTCCCTGCCCATGGCAGGGGGTGGGATGAGATGGGCTTTAAGGTCCCTTCAACCCAAACTATTCCATGATGATCCTGTGGCCTGTAGCAACTCCTCTGAGCAGTGCAGCCCAAAGCCATCTCTGGAACCGACACAAGAACCAGCAATGGAAAGAACCAGGTAGAGACCAAGAGCTCTCATTAGCAGAAATAAAAAGATAAATTTCTCCAGAAAAAGATGTTGGAGTAAGAGGAACACAAGAGGAGCTGGAGAATGGATGTGGGCCAGAGGCAGCACCTCATCCCTTCGTGCTGGGCTGAGCTGCTGCTGATCAAACCCTGCTGCTGAGATCCCAGAGAAAGGTCAGTGACAGAAACTGCAGCTACCCTGTGTTTCTTGAGTGGCTTTCTCACTTCAAAAAAGCTGTGAGTAAGTGAGGTCTCCCCAGCTTCCCTTTGGACTTCATCTGAATTCTGTCAAATTCTACACAACGCATTTCAACCAGGATCAGGAATATTTCCTGGGGGATGTGTGCTGGAGGAAAGCATCCCCTCCCCAGCAGATATTATAATGCCAAATCTCACACTGAAAACGTTTCAGACAGAGAGTGACCCCTGGGAGATTTCAGTGACAGAACCTGGGAAATGGAAGTGGATTAAAGATGCAGTGAGAGGACACAAGAAGAACGAGGTGGTTTGCAGCAGACCAAAACTGGTGTGTTTGAGTCAGCCTGGTGCCCACCAGTCCAACAGGAGGCTGGAGTGCCAAGGAACACCAGAGCTCATCCATTTCTTCTGCTGGCACCCCAAAATGCACTGTCATCTCTGTCCCACTGGCTCTGACTCACTGAGCTGATTTTGTGTCCTCGGTGCCTGGCCCTGTTTCTGCTCTCAATGACGCATGGGAATCTCTGGAATAATTCCTCTGGAGCCAAGAAGATTGCTGTGGATCAATGCCAAAGGCAGCAAACTGGCTCGTGATCCTTGACAGAGAAAACACAGCCACAACATCAGACTGTGCTGTCACTCTTCCCTGTCATGTGCAGCATTCTGGATTTTTTTGTCACTTTTCAAGGGCTCAAAGTACCCATTGAGGGAGCCAAGAGCCACCATTTCATGGCATCATCATCTCCCTTAAAACCTTCCCAACAGAAGCTTCAAGGGTTGAACTGCATTAATTTACAAAATGTATTAAATTACAAAATAACCAGGGCTTCCAGAAGCTCCTCAGCCCCCATGAGAACCACCACAGACAATGGGAGCTGCAGATGAGCAGCAAGAAGTGGTTACTGAATTGACCAGAATTGCTCCCTCACAGTACTCCAGACCCACACATGTAGTAAAACTCACATCCCTCTATGGATTTTCCTTTCTTTTAAATGTTCAATAAAATAAAAAACTCAACCTCATGCTCAGAAAATTGAAAGCTTTGAAAAACCTCCTCTTCCCAAAGGGTCCATCCTACCAAAGAAGCTGCTGAAGGCACCTCTTGTGCTTCAGGAAAGAAAGGCAGTGGGAAGAAAATTAACATTCACTGGAATTTGGATCTCTCTGGAGCTCGTGGCTTCTCTTTTTCAATTAAATCCTCTCCTGAAAGTCTTCACACCACTCCTGAATGAAGTCCTACCTGGACAGACTTATTACCATCTTTCTGGGAAATAAGAGGAAAAAACCAACATGGGAGGCTCTGGAAAGGAGAAAGCCATGGAGAGGGATGGACTCAAAGCCATGGTGAATGTCAGGTCAGAAGCTTCTGGTACAAAAGGCTCTGAACTGTTATAAAAATGTGGGGGTTTTCCAGATACTTTTTCCTAATGAAGGAATAGCACTAAAAATGCATCCCACCATATTCTCCAAGGGGAGAATCCCCATCATTCCCCTAAAACCAGGATAGACTGACTAGTCCATCACTGGGAAACGTCATAAACATACATTTATATATTAAAATATACAACATATAAATTTAATTACATTTTAATGTATATTTATATGTTAAATCTATATAAACCCACAAAAGGCAGGGCATAGTTCTGCAACGTTCTCAATCCTGAATGGTTCTTTATCTCATAGACACAACCTATTTTTTATAGCTACAATTTATTTATATATATAACTGATTTTATATATGGTTTTATATATTTTCATATATAATTTTGAATATATTCATGTATCTACATAAAAAACCCACAAAGGTGGGCACATATTTGCAACCTTGAATGGGTCTTTATTTTACTATAATCATCTTATCCTGCCCTCCCTTAAAAAAAATGCCACCTTTGTAAAGGCACACAGCCATTCCTCTGCTAAGTTATTAAAATGAACATCAGAAATTATCCAGTAAAGGCAAGGATTTTAACCCTTCCAGCCCTGAGTGGGTATATTTATATATTCCAAGTGTTTCTGTTCCCTGCATCAGCGACCGCAGCCCCTGCATAAAAATGCCAATCAATTTTTAGCACGGGCTCAGTGTGGCTTGATGCCATGCTCTTCATATGGCACTGAGCCCTTCCTAAGAGTCCTCCCTGTTCCACCTCCTCCCTCCTGCTCCAGAAAAAAAACCCCCCTTGAATCCAAACCTTCAAATCTTTCCAGTGGCTGTAATGAAAGGGTGGTTTGGCAGCAAAAAAAAATATTGGCAGGGGGGAGAACACATCATCACTCAAGTTCCAGTAGAAGCTGGGAGACTGGCACGGGGTGGGGGGAGCTATTTCAAGGGGTAGTGCCACCATAAATAAATAAATATTGACAGATCCTGCCAGGATCTGCTGGAAAGGGCAGGCAGGGAACACAGAGCACATTCAGGAGCCCATGGAGATGATTTCGATGGAGCAGATTAAGTGCTGCCTATACCTTTCTTTATACATCTATCTTGGCTTTTCTGGGGCTGAGTCTGAACATGTTTGTACACAGGAGGAGATTTGCCCAGTTTGGGTGGGTTCCAGGCATGTTTGCAGGAATTATTTGGTGCCTGACAGCACAATTTTCCTGGCTATGGAGGGCCACGCTCATATCATCAACTACAACAAGCAGGAGTGACCACCTACAGCTGGCTCCTGGGTGGGCAGTGGGAAAAACCCTCCCATCAGAAGGTCCCAAAGCAGGTCCCTCCAGCAGGAGCCAGAGGATAAAGGATCTGAGTGGCTCCTCCCCTCCTGGAAAATGCTCTTTTGAGAATCTCCATCTGTCTTAGCTAGGATCGTGGGTATGGCACCGTTCCTGCAAAACATTTGCACCAGGAAGCAGCTTGACACATGGAGAAAGTTCCAAGTGAAGGTAAAAGCACGAAGTTAATTACCAGCAGGGCCTGACATTTAGAAAAGGACATTAAACAGGATTTTCAAACAAGATTTAGGCTTGCTTTTCAGCTTAAGTACTTGCAGCCAAACCCGAGATTCTAAAAGGCCTCCTCAGCCACCTGGCCCTGGAGATCCCAACATTTTCTAACCTTTCCTTCTTCAATCTGAAACCACCACACCTCTGCTCCTGCTCTGCACATCCAGAGCCCAGCAGGCAAACACTCCCCTCCTGCCAAAGCCCCTCCAAAGCCAGTAACAACAGAGCACAGGACTCTCCTCCACCACCTCCAGAGGCAGCTGGAGCAGGCTTAAAAGCCCTACTCCCAAAACAAGGCTGGGAGCTTTGTCTTTAAAGCACTGTCACCTGGGAGAAAGGAACACTCTGGTGGCCAGAGCTTCTTCCAGCTACTCCAAGTTTTTAAAGGGTCTAAGTCCAGCCTCAGAGAGGAGAGTTTAGTACAAAGCTAAAGGCTGCTCTGGATGGGGACATGTCTGAAGGAAATGCAAAGTCCCTGTGGCCAAGACAGCATCCCACAAGTGAGCTCCTGCCTCTGCCACCCAGCAATTAAGGAACTCCCCAGGGAGCAGAAGGTCCAGGATTTTGGCTCCAGGTCCTGGGAATACTTCAACAACCTGATGTAGAGCACCCATGCAGATGCCAGGGCAGGGAGTGGCACCATGTCCTGGCTCAGGGACGTGCCAAGCAAGGCCCAGGTGGCTCTGGTGACCCTGGGAGGGTCCCCATGAGGGTGGCACACGTTACCTCTGCATCCTGGACATCCTGTGGAGCTCCATGTCATCACTGCCACGGAAGCCTTTGGCAAAGGGGTTGTTCTCAATCTTCAGCTGGGTGATCTGAAAGGGAGGAAACGCAGCAGGGTCACGGCCAGGGACAGAGGGGACAAAGGTTATTAAACCCAAGGCAGGTGGGATGGGAGGGAAAACACAGCTTGCAGGAACTCCAGGCATCCCTCAGCTCAGGCACTGACCATTCCAGATGGGCCTTTCCCTGGAATGCTCCACAGGAAAAATATCTCCTGTCAACAGCCTCTCGCTTCTCCCAGGCTTGTCCCATAACCAACATGTGGGACTGCTCACACACATTTTTCTCTGGAGAAAATCTGCTTTCTGAGAGTTTCATTTTGCTGTTGGGACAGAAAGGGCTTCGCTGCTCCAAGGACCAGGGATGGAAGTTGGATCTGAACAAATCCCAACAAGTATTTTCTCATCAATGCACAGACAAGACCAAAAGCTCACCTCTCAGACCCTGCACCCTCTCTCCCAGGCCACTGAATCTCACCCTTTGGGTGTTTCAGACCAGCTAAATGTGCTCCAGGTGCTCTGCATCTGCCATCCTGCCCCACAGCTGGCAGCACTGCATGGACTCATTACCTAAATTACTTTGAGGGCAACTTCACCTGTGACTATCAAACCCTTAAGGATTTTTTGTCTCCCCATCACTTCCAGTTTGCTCACTAAGTGAGAGTCTAAAGTTTAGCCAGATTAATCCCCTCAGTCTCAACTTTCGTCCTCTTAAAACATCTAAATTTAAGATTTAAAGCAGCTTCTAGACAGACCATGCCCTTACGCAGGGACTATGCTGCTCCAAGAGGTTCCATCCCTCCTCCACTACTTTTCCTGAGGGTTTTGGTGAGCAGGGCTTGTCATTTAAGCCAATATTCATTGTGGACCAGCAACACCCTCAGCTGCCCTGTGGATTTTGCAAAAACTCCCTCTGCCTGCCAAATCTGATGGAAATACTTTGGTGCCTTGGCAGAAGAGGACTGAGCCCGGACCAGGTGTGATATTGTTGCAAAGACCCAAAGTTTGTGCAGAAGAGGGGAATTTTCCCTTTTTTTCCCTCTTTTCTCCATCCCTGCCTGGCAGTCTGAGCTCTCAGCAAGGACTCAGGAGAGACACTTGCCCAGGAGGAAAGAGAACCCCGTGTTTGCCACTGGAGGAGCTTCACGCTCTCACCACGTTTTATGGAAACCCCATCCTTCCTTCCCATTGAGAGCTGGCCAAGGGGAAGGAAAGAGCTCAGGATCAAGGCAGGGAGAACAGAGAGAGGTTCATGCTCACAGAGTCAAGCACAAACAACCAGGCCCACCTCCCTGCCAAAATCCAGAGAGGAAAATCTGGCTCGCCCAGTGTCAATAGCAAACCTCGCCAGGTGTATGCACAACCAGATTATTTTGCTCTTTTCTTGTCTTTCTGCATATTTTTTTCCAAGGGCCGCTTGTTTATTTGCCATTTTTGCCTTATTCAGCCCCAAACTTCTCCCAGAGCCCCCCACCACACTTACACTTATCTCCACAGGCATTCCCATTAAATCGGGACCATACTTCAGCACATAAACAAGCCCTTGGCACTTTTGGCACTTTTTTTTTTGTCCCTCATTTCAGATTTCAAAGAGAAGGTAAACAAACAATCTTTTGGGGTCAATTTGCCAGTTGAGCCATTCTCTAGCAATAAAACAGAGGTGCATTTTGTAATTAAAAGCCCTGAATTATTACACAACCAGCTGTGTATTTTGCAAAGCAACTGCCTATCGGTTTGAAGGTGGTGACTCTTCTAGAATGAATAATAGGCATTATTCAACATTTTGAATGTTCCTGAAGCCCTGTAAATGTAGGAGTTGTCCTCTCTTGCCGACCCCAATGGCAATATTTGCTCACATAAGTGAAGTCCTTCAGTGAGTGAGGATTTACAGGATTGGCACCAGCACACAAAGGCACAAAGGGCCGGATTCATCCCAACCTGACCAAAGGCATTTTAACCAAGGCGCCTGCACTGGGAGCCTCAGCTCCCTGCTGGAATCAAGGGAGGGACATGGGGACTGCCAGAGGGCTCTGGGGTGGGTGGCAGTGCCTTCACAGGTCCCCAGTGCACTCTGGTCACTGGAGGAGGAGCCAGCAGTGCTCCAGCCCCTCGTTTAAGCCCCTCAGTTGAATGCCCCGTTTGATTCTTCAAGGTTTTAATGACCCACAAAATAGCAGCCAAAATATCAAAATGGGACCTCAATATTGCAAATCTGGTGGTTTAGGAGAAGAGAAATCCCCTAACCCACACCAGGAACACACTTACAAGTGAAGGTGTTGATGCTGATGGCCAAAAGCCCCAAGAGAATCACAGCCAACTTCAGCCTCCTTAAAATTAAGGATCTGCTGCATTGAAGGCATCTGAAAACCAGGGACTAAAGATTTAGAATTAATTCTCAGAGCTTTGGTGTCCTTCAGATGGATTGGAGCTCCCAGAACAAAGTTTCCCCAGGTGACACCTCATGGCATCAGCCACCACAAAGCCAGGAGAGCCCAAGCCAGATTTAACAAAACTGTACACAACAAACTAAAAAACAGAGAAAAAGTTGGTGAATCCCTGCTTTAGCAAACAACCTGTGGAAGATATTTCACTTGGCCACTTTTTTGCCTGACTTCCCAACTATTCCAGAGGTGGAAAAGCAAACTCAGGGGTGGAAATAACCTTCTTCTAGATCAGCTTTGCCACAGCAAAACTGAGTTTAATTGACTATAACTCACAGGGGGGCAGGGGGGGAGAAAAGCTGTCAGAAAGTCAAATGACAATTACCTCATGAAAAATAAAACAAAATACAACGTCCTGCGAGGTCATTAAGACAGAGTGCCCAGGGCTGAATTGTACAGCACAGGTTCAATAAAACTGAAGGGCTTTGTTTGTGTATTTGTTTCTGACAGCAAAGTTTCCCTGGTTCTGAAGCAGCCACAGACCCTTGGAGACCAGAGCTTTGCAGGGTGAAGCTTCCCAGATTTCCACTTTTCAGGGTTTGTCTGACCTATGGGTTCATCTTCACTTTAATGGGAAGTGACAGTTCCCAGTGGAATTGGGAATCCCAAAGGAACCCCTGGGCTGCTCCCCTGCACTCCTTTCTCTGGGCTAATTGGCCACAAAGCTCTTCTGCTGAGACCTTCCCAACAGCATCCTCAGCTCCAGCAGGACAAAATTGAGCTTTGCATGGAGTTAGGTCGAGGAAAGATGCTTTACTTCTTTTTCCTTTTCCACAGACATGCATTTATATGGAATTTGTGCCTAAGGGCCCACGAATATCATTATGGCCAAAATCAAAACTACAATTTTGTAGTATTTTTTATCAAGAACTTAATATTTTTCCTCAATTGTTTCTCACTTTAGAAGTTGTAACAAAGTTAAAACTTTGTTAGGGGTGATGTGCTCCACACCAGGTGTTCTGGACTCTATTTTATTTATGTATTTTGCTAGCAACTTCTTTTTTTAAGCACTTAAGCTAAGGGAAAACTCTTCACCCTGATCTTTTTGGGCTCTTCTGAAACTAAGAAAGGTTGGGCATTCTGGAAAAGGAATGTTCTTCAAGGAATGTGGATCCTGAATTTCTGGATTCTCACTCAGGTCTACTTAGAGAACTTAAAACTGATTGGAGGGGGAAAAAAATTCACCATTTAGTGATGAAGAGGTGCAGATGATCACCCTTGAGAGGTGCAGAGCACTCATGGAGCTCCCCTCTCCGTGGGGATCCAGTTCTCCCTGGCCTGCAGGTGCCCATGGTCCTGCTCAGGGTGGCACAGAGGGACCTGGAGCAGCTGTGCCAGGGCTGGAGCTGGCAGTGCTGGGAGCCACAGGAGCTGGAAAGCACAGAGACTTCTCTGCCAGGCTCTCAATGAGCCCAGGAAGGAGCCAAGGCAGGATGGAGGAAGCCAAACCAGAGGAGTGGGAAGGAGAGAAACAGATGCAGACAAGTTGGCTGCTGAGCCCAGGGACACCTGGGCCAGGCAGAGGAGCTGGATGGAGAGCTGGGACTCAGAGCCCCAGGAGAAGGGAGGGGGCAGTTGCTGGCAGAGGGGAGAAGATGCTGAACCCAAAGCTGTGAAGGAAATGGGAGGGACTGGGAGGCTGCTTGGAGGTGCTGGGGTGAGACAGAGGGGCCCACTGAGGAGCCTGCTGGGACACAGGGACCAAGGATGGGAACAGAGACCTGGCACAGAGCTCTGGGGGAAGGAGGTGAGTCTGCAGGCAGGATGGATGCCAGATGCAGAGGGAGTCTTGGCCAAACTGGAGGACAGGGGCTGCTTTGAGGACCAAAAGGGTCCAGGGGCTCAGGGCTGGCTGAGCACCCCATCCCAGGGCTGGCAGGGAGTAGGAACAGGACTGGGAACAGAAGGTGACAAGGCTGCTTCAGCCAGAGTTGGAAGAGTTTTCCACGAGATCCCTGGAAGGAAGCACTGTCCCAGGAAGGCCTGGAGCAGCAGTAAGAATCATGAGGAGCAGCAGAGAGAATCAAAGAGAGAGCAGCAGCTCCCTGCCATCCTCAGTGCCCCAGAGCAGCAGCTCCCTGCCATCCCCAGGGCTGCACAGAAGCCACCAGGTCTGGTGATGAAGAGGAGCTACTTGGTGTCACCTTGCTTAGCCCCAAGGAGCTCTGTCTCTCCCAGCACTTGGGGGAGCCCTCTTTGGAGAAGAGTCTGCCCTGGGTAAGGAGAGGGGCTGTCCCCTCTCTCCAGCCAGATGGAGAAGCACAGGGACAATGAGCCCAGGCAGAGCAGGGAGAGCCTGGGGGCTGCACAGGGGAGTCCCATGAGATGCCAGCCAGGCCACCCCACTGGTGGCCTCTGCTGAAGGGGTGGAGGTGGCCACCTGCAACCTGAGACAGGGAAAATGGAGCTCTCAGGAGAAAAAGCCACACCCAAGGACCTGCCCACCTCCAGCCCTCAAGGACAGTGACAAGAAGCCACATGCTCAGAGGGACACCAGCTCTCCAGAACTCCCAGAGTGGAGCACCACTGACTCACCAGCATGATTTTAGCACTGGGTCTTTTTCTTTCCTTCCTCCTCCTTTTTCTTCCCTTCCCCCTTTTTTGGGGAAGGATGAATCTCTCTAGTCAGAAACCCCACCAGATACCTGGCAGTGAATCCAATCTTTGGCCATGCCCTGCCCTGCTCCTCCCTGGTGCACACAGCATTTCTGGGTGCCTGGAACATCCCACCCGGGGCAAACGTTTTCCTTAAAAGAATTTTGGCTACCAAGAATGTTAAATAACTTAGGGTGGGGGAAAAAAAAAATCAGCATAAAACCGGATATCCTGAGGGGGGGGGAACCAATATAAAGCCCAAGTCCAGCTAAGGGGGAAAGTAGGTTGTAAAAATTAATGAGAATAATTGTTGTGAATTCTTGCTTTTGAAAGAACCCTCGTGAGGGGAGAACCTTAATTATTTCTGTCTATTAGGTTCATTTCCTGGTCCTAAGCAGAGAGCTCATACCTAATAAATATGAGCCAGTAACACAATGATTTAAGCTACAGCAAAATGGTGCTTAACTGCACGGAAAGTTAATATTTGGGAATCAACCTGATTGCAAGCACCCATTGTGTAAATGGCAAGGAAATGAAATGTGCATGTGACCTTTTTTAACACCTCAGTATTTCTGGGGTGTTTTTAAGGGTAGCAGAGAGGGGGGAGGTGACCAATGGAGCTGCTGACAACTGCCCTGAAAACTTCACCAAAACTCTCTTCATTGCTTAAGCCTCTTTTTGGGGAGTAGGGCTGAGGAGAGGGAGATCCTAGGGTGCTTAAATATCTTTTCAGGCTGTCTAAAATATCAGGGGAAATAAGCACAAGCCCTGCACTGGGATTGCAGCTGTGCTCTTGAAATAAATTGACCTATCTGGAAGCAGGCAGGTATTTCTATAAGCTGTGTAAGCACGGACTCAAATGCATTTTGGGGTGAGTTACACAGTTCATTCTGTAATAGAATTCAGCTCTAACAGAGCTCTTGAAACCTAAACCCCGTGCAGGGATGAATTTGTGTGTGTGTGTGTAAAATACATTGGTGTATAAAACTCTGCGTAAAATATGTCAGAGGCTGGGTGGGGTGGATGGGAAAGATTGCATGAGGGATGAGCTACAGGTGAGAGACAAAAATGGGAAAAAAATCAGCAGTGCACTGACAGCAAGAGCTGGGGATGCCCCACATGTTGGGGGCTGCCATCCTTTATGGCAGGGGGGAATGCAGCCTGTGTTACAAAAGCAAAATCTGGTTTTCCAAGCAACCTCAGCTGTGAAAGCTGAGCTCAGGTTTCAACTGGGGGAAAAGACCCCAACTCAGTTTCACCCACCTCAGCTGGGAGATGTTTCTCCTTGGCATCTGCATCAACCCCAATATCATTCCCCATCTGCACTGGGGTGAGCTCCAACTTTTATTCCCTTCCCTGCAGGGAGATGCCATTTAGGGAAGATCATCCCCTGGTTTATTTTTATGGCTCTATCTTTCCCAATTGGGATTTTATCTTGGGGCTCCAGCCACTCTCCCCCTGTTCCCCCCTGATTCCAAGCAGCACAGGGAGGAATGTGTGTGTCAGGGGGCAGAGGGATGTCAGAGCCTGTAAAACGTGTCAGGGGTGTGTAAAATGTGTCCTGGTGTGTCTGTGGGGATTCCTGCCTGTGTCAGATACACAGATGTCATTTCTTATCACACAGATGTTGCTGATTTACAATCAAATATTCCTGCTCCTCCTAGCATGGCAGTTTTCCCAAACTACTGTACTTACATGTTCCTGCTTTGCTTTAGTTTTATTTGCATGATCATTTCTTTTCCTATAAACCAGCCCCATTTTTCTTCAAAGGAGAGCAGCTCCATTCACGTCTGTTTTCTGCTCGGGAAATGCCTTTAAAGCAGGCAGTGTGTCCTGTTTTATTAACTCCCACTTCTATTAATATTATATTCTTTCTGCAAATCCATCAAGCAGAAGTTAAACTTGATTTTATAGCATCCACAGTGGAGTTATAATTTAAGGCATAATTTGGCAAGGACTCAATTTGGATTGGGTTTGCTTGTCCCAGCCGTGCCAGCAGCTCCTATTTTAAAGGGCAGGGAAGTATTTTCCTTTCTCCCTAGTTATGGTGGAACACTCTTTCTTCTCCAGCCCAGCTCTGCTCTCTGCAGCTTGCTGGTCAGCTGATGGATGGAGGAAATGCAATCATTTCACACAGCTTTAGGAACCTGCATTTCCAGGAAAGCATCCAGGATTTCTTTGGGGTGCTAAATGACTTTTCTCTGTTTGAAAAACAATTATTCTATGGGGTACAAAGGAGCCATCCTACCTGCCTGTAAGTACAAGTTTATAGTAAGTGCTTTTTATGTGATTAGGAGAGGAATTTGCTTTTTTGCTGAAAGAAATTGAGTTTTCATGGAGCTGTGGCAAACGACAGTTGGTGAAAGAATCATCTGTGGAGAACCACACTGCCTTCAACACTCAGCCTTCCTCCTCCTCCTCCTCCTCCTCCCGTGCTGGGCGGGGAAGCCCAAACCCAAGCAGGGAAGGAGCGGAGGGGCAACGACAGCACCAAGAAAACCCTTATTCCACCCAAGCCAGCAGAAGACAAAGCCATCCCGTTATTCTCGTGCTTTGTTTGCTGATCCCGGGAGCTGAGCCTCCCTTTCCTGCCCGGGCCTCCCGGCTGCCGAGCCCCCCGTGGGCAGCCGGGTTATCAGCGCCCGGCCGCGAGGGGAGCGCCCGGCTCCCTCCTCCAGATTAGGAGCCTTTGACCCACGGCGAGGGGGGGAAGATAAAGCAAACTTCCTCGGTTGGTCGTCTCCATGTAAGCAAAGCATCCTGGTGAGCTCATTCCCCCCTCCCCGGCTCGCCCCGAGCCTGGCTTTGGATGCTTTGTGCGGCCAGGAATAACAGAGGGGATGGGATGGGAGAGGGGAAGGGAGGAGGAAAATGGGAGAGGGAGAGGACAAGAAGAAAGGACAAGGGGAGGAAAGAAAGGGGAAGAGAAAGGAGAAGGAAGGAAGGAAGGAAGGAAGGAAGGAAGGAAGGAAGGAAGGAAGGAAGGAAGGAAGGAAGGAAGGAAGGAAGGAAGGAAGGAAGGAAGGAAGGAAGGAAGGAAGGAAGGAAGGAAGGAAGGAAGGAAGGAAGGAAGGAAGGAAGGAAGGAAGGAAGGAAGGAAGGAAGGAAGGAAGGAAGGAAAGAAAAAGGAGAAGAAGGGGACAAGGAGAGGAAAAAGAAGGGGGACAAGGAGAGGAAAAAGAAGGGGGAGAGAAAGGAGAAGGAAGGAAAGGAAAAGGACAGGGAGGGGAGAGCAGGAAAAGAAAGGACGAGGATAAGGAGAAGAAAAGGAAGGGGACAAGGAAGTGGAGAAGGGGAAAGGAGAGGGAAAAGGAGGGGGAAGAAGAGGAAAAAGGAAGGGGGAAGAAGAGGGAAGGGAAGAAAAAGGAGAAGGAAGGAAAGGAAAATGGAAAAGAAAAAGAAGGGGTGAAAGAAGCAGCAGGGAGGGAAGAGGGGCTGAGTGTCTCAGGAAGAGGGAAGGAGCAGGATGCGGTTTGCGGGGCGGGGGCCGGCCCAGCCCCTCACCTTGTGGTTTTGGTAGGAGGTGACGGCGATGAAGGCGGTCTCCGGGAAGACGTGGGTGCAGAAGGCGGTGTTCTTGGAGCCGAAGCCGTTGTTCTCGTCCGCTTTCACGATGTGAAGCCGGGGCTGGTATTTGTGCATGGAGTTCAGGATGATCTGGGCAGGGGGAGAAGGAGAGGACATCCCGTGGGAATGGAGGGGGCACAGCACGGCGCATCCCCCCCTTCCCAGGGCAGGAGGAGAAGGACACACATCAGCAGGAACCCGCAGCCCCTTCCCCAAAACGTTTGCCCTTTTCAGGAGCCCCTTCCCCAAAACGTTTGCCCTTTTCAGGAGCCCCTTCCCCAAAACGTTTGCCCTTTTCAGGAGCCCTTTCGAAGGGCAGATGAAGGTGCTGGGGTAGGGGCACGGATCTCTCCAGAAACTCACTCGGGGAGCCCAGCAGGGCCGGGAGGTGCTGTCAAAGGTGCTTCCTCACCTGCTCCCCCCACACAAACCACTGAGGGGCCAGAGCTGCTCCCCCAACACGCAATGGGGGCAAATGGGGGCATCTCAACACCCCCATCCCATGGCAGGGGGGTAAAGAGTGCAGAAAGGGCGAGGGAAGAGAGCTGGGGAGATTTGGGGGTTTAGGGACATCCCTCCCGCCAGCCACCCGCACAGGACGGTGGCGGAGCCGGGAGGGGCTGCGGGGGGTTCCAGATAAAAAGCGGGCCCTGCTCGGTACCGGGTTAATCCCGGGGGAGGATGGGGGACGGCGGGGGGCCGCTCGGGCCCGATAATGACTGCCGGACCCTGGCGACAGCGAGACGCAGCGCGTCCCGCCGCCGCCTCCCCCGTCCCGGGGGTTTAAGCAAATTGCTTTGACATCCAGGAAAGTCGTAGACATCAACGGTGAACGATCTAATGGTTTTTAATTTCATTACAGCGACTCTAATTGAGAGGCTCCTGGCGCAGCTCCTCCTCTGAAGTCCCTTATTGTCCCCTCAGCGTCTTCGGTTTGTTTGGAGGGACTTTTTCCCCAGAGCCGCCTGTTCCCAGCGGGGATGCCTGGCCCCTTTCCCCCGGGCCGGATCCCCCCCCGGATCCCCAAAAGCATCCCCGGGGCTGGGATGGGTTCCCCCGGCTGCGCTGCTCCCCTCCCTCTTCCCGCAGGAAAGGTCCTGATCCCTGGGAAGCAGCCCCTGCAAACCCCTTCTGCAGCACCTCCATTAGAATTAAAATAAAAATAAAAATTCGAATTATAAAAAGAAAAATGAAATCAAGCCCCGCAAATGGAGGTGCAAAGGAGAGCTTGTAAATGATGCTCAGCATTGGGGTGGGCTCGGGACTCTGCTGGCTCCTCTCCCCCAAAGCCCTCTCACTTCTTGGCTACCGCGTGGGCGAGGATTTAATAGCACGAAATTTATCATTAAAAAGTGAAGAAGAAGAGAAAAAACAGCTTGGAAAAAATGAAACTGAAGTGTTGAAACGAGACTGGAGAAAAATCCACTCTTGGAAAGGGCTGGCAGGATCTGGAGTCACATATTCGTTCAATTATATATTTTATATATATATATGTACACACACATATATATATATTTTATTCATACATGCACATATATATTTGCTCAGAGGAACTCGCATCTTTGGAGACCTTCGAAGGAGGGCTGTTCCTGGCTGCAGAATTCACACAAATTTTCACGGCCCCACGAGTCTCGCAAAGACTTTTAATGCCCAAGAAATTCTAGCGGGATTTCAATTTCTCTAATTGTCTTTAATTATTGTTACTTTTCCTTTTTTCTTTTTTTTGATCGAGGGATCCACATCGTTTTAGGTCCTATTTCCTCCGCTAATTATGCCTGATTGATTTTACCTGTTAGGCAAATTCCCGGTGGCAGCGGGCGGATTTTAACGATTGGAGACTCTCCATGCGATTAAAATCCGAGTGACCAAATACTCAGTGAAGCCAGGAGAGCTTCACCCACTCGCCAACTCCAGGCCCCGGGGGTCTGTCATCAATTCCCATCTATTGAACGTTTATGCTTCTAATTTTTGGGGGGTCCTCAGTGAGGTTCATCCCGCTCTCTCCGGGGTGAAATAACGCCCCAGGAGCCCTGGGTTTGAGAATGGGTAACACTGGCAGGCCAGTGGCAGGGGACACCCGCCATGGGTGCTGCACAGCACGATGCCCTTGTCCCAGCCCCGGCACTTACATGTCCGAAGGGATCCAGGTGGTTGTTGGTGAGTTTGAGCTTCTGGAAGGAAACCAGCTGCCTCATCCAGTGCGCTCCGGTGGCGGGGGAGTCGGGGTGCACGTACAGCCTGCCGGGCATGGCCGGCTCTGCCTTGCCTGTCACCGACCTGCGGGGACACGGGGCTGAGCTGCGGCCGCCTGGGGACGGCCCGTGGGCTCCTGCCCCCTTCAGTCCCCTCCCGTGGGCTCCTGCTCCCTTCAGTCCCCTCCCGTGGGCTCCTGCCCCCTTCAGTCCCCTCCCGTGGGCTCCTGCTCCCGGCCATCCCCTCCTGGGGCTCCTGCTCCCCGTCCGTCCCCTCTTGGGGTTCCTACTCCCATCCGTCCCCTCCCGTGGGTTCCTGCTCCCCGTGCATCCCCTCCCGTGGGCTCCTGCTCCCTTCAGTCCCCTCCCGTGGGCTCCTGCTCCCTTCAGTCCCCTCCCGTGGGCTCCTGCTCCCTTCAGTCCCCTCCCGTGGGCTCCTGCTCCCTGTGCATCCCCTCCTGGGGCTCCTGCTCCCCGGGCATAGCCCCCCGTGGGCTCCTGCTCCCCCTCTGTCCCTTCCTGGAGTTCCTGCTTCCGTCCATCCCCTCCCGTGGGTTCCTGCTCCCCGTCCGTCCCTTCCTGGGGCTCCTGCTCCCGGCCACCCTCTCCCGTGGGCTCCTGCTCCCTTCAGTCCCCTCTTGGAGCTCCTGTTCTCGTCCATCCCCTCCCGTGGGCTCCTGCTCCCCGTCCGTCCCTTCCTGGGGCTCCTCCCGTGGGTTCCAGCTGCCCCTCCGTCCCCTCGCACCCAGGTACCCCGTGCAGGGCAGAAAAGGCATTTCCAGCACGGCTGGCTCGGGGAATTACTGAGCTCTTTGGCACCTTTCCCGTCGGAGATGGCTCTCGCCGCTCGCCCGTTTAACCCCATCCTTCCCCTAATTAACGGCCAGGAGGAAAAAAAACCCCAATCCTTAAAGACTTTCCTGCCCGGCAATATTCCCTTCCTTAATATAATTAAACCATCAGCTCCACAATAGCAAACAACCTCATCGTCAATCAGGATTCGTTAATTGCGACAGAATTCCTGCGGTTTTTCCTTTTTTTTCGGATTTCTGTCCCATTTCTCCCAGGAACACCCCACTGCGCCCAGGTGAGGCTCCTGCAGCCCAACATTTTGCACGGAAAAAGAAGGACGAGCCGCTGATTGAAGGATTTCTCGCAGCCCCAGAGGTCTCGTCCCTGTCCCCCAGGCGTGCCTACCATTTATTATCCGCGAATTTGTATCTGTGGTCATCCGCCGGTACAATATCCATCAGCAGGATGTACTTCGTCTTTGGATTGAGTCCAGTGACCTTCACTTTGTAACTGGGGAACATCCGCCTGTTGAATAAATAAATAAATAAATAAATAGATAGAAGTATAAAACCAAAGTTTGCCAAGGTGATTTTGTGTGTGCGAGGAGGTGACATTGGGGGGAACATTTAACAAAAGGGCTAAACCCCGGTCCCAGGTGGATCTTCCCCACCGTCCCCTTGGCGTGTGGGACAGGTTTGGGTGGTGCTGGGTCCCATCCAGGCGAACCGGGTGATTTATCAAAGCAAAATCGGAATTTCGAGGCTGGCGGGTTTGTTCATTCACCTCCTCGTGTGTCTGCTCGTTTATTCGTATTTTTACTAATTATTTCTTTCACTAAAGTTTTGAATCTCCGGGTTTTTTTAACAAATCTGAGCGTGAGAACTTTTGGAAGCAAGTTACTTCCCTCCCTCCATAAACCACGGGAACGGGAGAGGAAATTTGCCAAAAAAAAAGTTTTAAAATAAAAGTTATAATATAGATACTCCTATAAAATTATATTTATATATCTTTCTATAAATGTATATGTTTATAGAAATATGTTCTCGTATATTACATATATAGAAATATAAACATTTTAAAATACATTTATATGAACACCTCGAGGTTCTAGGGACAGATACGGAGCAAAAAAACCTGCACGCACTCAGGTGGAAGAGAAAATCCGTGAACAGCCGTGCGATCACCCCGAGACAGCAGCAAACACACCTGACAAATCCTTGGAAACCCTCGGATACACACAAGGCAGGGGCTTTTCGAAATATTTTCCATTACTGCAAGGCAGGCACTTAAACCACTGCTGTTATTTTAGTTCGAGCTTTCCAAATATTTAAAAATAAAGCAGATGAAAATGGAGCCCTGGACTTAAAACAGGCATAAACAACAAAAAAAAAATCCACAAAAAAAAAAAAAGTCCCACACCTCTAAAAATACCGCGCCCTTCTCCGAGGCTCGGGATCTTATCGCTGCCGTGGGGCACCTGGGCTGGGCTTTAATTCGGGTCTAAAAAGTTGTAGGAGGGGGGTGAAAAGCGCCCAACGAAGGCAGCGGGTGTTGAACTTAAACTTTTTAAGGGAGAAGAAACCAAATTCCACCTGGAGATTAATCTGTAACTCCATGGAAAACACCTGAGCAGCGCGACCAGGGACTTCAACGAGAACCACGGGCAATGATGTAAATAAGGAAACCGAGCCCGCATCTCCCCTCGAGCCCTGCCTGTAAATGTCTCTTTTATTGCTCTCCAGATGAGATCTCTGTCCACAGAGATTTTTGTTTGAAATTTCTGCAAGGTGGTTTCTGTCTCCCTTCGAGAGTTGGATTTTTTTTTTTTTTTTCTTTTTGTCCCCAGTGAACCGGGGTTTTTATCGGGAGATCCCAATCCCAACACCGACTTCATCCCATGTCCCCTTGGCCACAAACCGCTCTCAAATCCATTTTTGCAGCAGCGAGGTTCAAGGGGAAGGCGAGATCTATTCGCTAAAACTTTACCCAACCAGCTCGATATTTATTTTCCCCCTCCCTCTTCAGGCAAATTTTGGAAGCCCACAGCAAATACCAGCTGACAGAGCAAAATGAAAGTTTGATTCTGCCCTGTTGATTGCGTCCCTACAACCTGAAACTATTCCTACACGTGGAGACTTTTTCCCTTTTTCTCCAAGAATTCTAATTGAAAATCACAACGAAAAATCCTCCCTCGGGCTGCTCCCAATTTGTTGATAGGACTGGAGAGACTTTTTTACTGCGTCTCGCTGGCCGCTCTTCAATTTAACAACCCTCCACCACGTTAATATCCAGGATAATGTTAAATCCCCTCAAAAATACCCTCGTCCACATATAAATATCTGCGGATCAGGTTTACACAGCCGGTCATGGAATCGATTAAACCCCAATAAAGTTGGATTTGCAAGGCTGCATATTTTGCCGCACACCCACGCAGATAAACACCCGCATAGAAACACACCCACATGATATTTATTTGCCGACGCATCTATCTCTGCATCTAAACAGCTTTATTATCTCTCTATAAACAGTAGCTTAAGACCGCCTAGACTTTTAAAAGGGGTGAAGTGGCTGAGATGGGAATATTCGCTCCACAGTGAGCAGAAATAAATAAAAAACCCTGTAAAACGCATAAAACTTTGGGGGAGAGCAGAAGAGCCAAATTGGATCAATAATAATAATAATAATAATAATAATAATAATAATAATAATAATAATAATAATAATAATAATAATAATAATAATAATAATAATAATAATAATAATAATAGTGGCCCAGCGAGCTGCTCTAAACAAAGTTTGCTTTTTGGCCAAGTGGTTGCAACTCGCGTTCGCCTGGAAAGTTTCCAAAGGCCTGAAGTCGGAATTAATGACCCAACTGTTCTGGTTAAGAAAGAAGCCAGAAGAAACAATTTCTGCCGCCTCTCTGCAGGCAGGGAGGGCTCTGCACGGCCGGGCAGTGGCACCCACACACACACACACACACACACACACACACACACACGGGCTCGGACACGAGAGGTGGGACCGTCCCCGTGCCAGGGAGGTGCCCGGTGCCCCCCAGCCAGGCGGGGGTGTCCCCCCGTCCCCGCAAACACCGAGGGGACCGCGGAGCCCCCCTGCTCTTACCTCCCGGCCTTTGTTATGATCATCTCCGTGCCCACTTCGTGGAATTTCAGCCACAGCTCGCGTTCGTGCAAAAACACCTTGATGCCCTCCATGCCCTGCGGAGCGGGGAGGCACAGAGCGTCACCCCGAGGGGAGCAGGGACAGCCCCGAGAGCCGCGGGGAGAGCCCCGAGGGCAGCGGGGACAGCCCCGAGGGGAGCAGGGACAGCCCCGATGGGAGCGGGGACAACCCCGACGGCAGCGGGGACAACCCCGAGGGCAGCGGGGACAGCCCGAGGACAGCGGGGACAGCCCTGAGAGCAGCGGGGACAGCCCCGAGAGAAGCGGGGAGAGCCCTGAGGGGAGCGGGGACAGCCCCGAGGAGCGGGGACAGCACCGATGGGAACGGGGACAGCTCCGAGGGGTGCAGGGACAACCCCGAGGGGAGCCGGGACAGCCCTGAGGGGAGCGGGGACAGCCCCGAGGGGAGTAGGGACAAACTCGCCAGGGCAGCCGGGCCCTGCACGGACCCGCCGGGAGCTGGCAGGGAAGGGCCGGGCTCTGCGGGCCGAGCTCGGGGCACTCCCGGGATAGCCCTGCCCAGAGCAGGCCGGAGGGTTTGAAGGCCGGAGGGGTTTGCAGGTCGGAGGGGTTTGCAGGCAGGAGGGTTTGAAGGCCGGAGGGGTTTGAAGGCCGGAGGGGTTTGCAGGCCGGAGGGGTTTGCAGGCAGGAGGGTTTGAAGGCAGGAAGGTTTGAAGGCCGGAGGGGTTTGCAGGTCGGAGGGTTTGAAGGCCGGAGGGTTTGCAGGTCGGAGGGGTTTGCAGGCCGGATGCCCGGGATGCCGCTCAGGGCAGGCCTGGAGCGGGGTCCTGCGGGGCTCTGGGGCGGGGGGCGATGGCAGAGAGCCCCCGGGCCGGCTCCCACCGCATCCTCCCGGAGAAATCCCCCGGCGCCCCGGCCCGGCTGCTCCCAGAGCGAGGCGGAGGAGATTGACACCGTCCCACGAGCGATTTACAGGCCAGAGCGGCGTGGGGTGTCACCCTGCTCCCGTCGCCCCCTGATTTTCTCTTTCCCACCCTGCGCTTGGGGCAGATGCCACCGTGGGGACAACACATCCCTGCAGCCGGGCTGGGAGGCACAGGGGACACCCCCGGCCAAACCAAGCCCTTCTCCCCGTCACTAAAAATGCCCCTCAGAATTCGGGGGTCGCTTTCCAAACACCCCCGGTGCCCGCTCTGGCCCTGCCGAGCCTTCTGTGCACCCCGTGGGCAGCGGGGTCCATCGGGGGTACCTGCCGGGGGACCCCACGGCAGGGACCGCGGTGAAAATCTCCTTTCCCCGCATTTCTCCCCTGCCAGGGCTCCCAGCACGGGGAGAAGCCGAGGGCTGGCTCGGAGCACGGAGCCCACATAGCGCTAGGGGGGCCAGGGCTGAGGGAGGGCACCAGGGACCCCCCAAGTGTCGCTCTGGGGGTGCCCACGCGTGGTCAGCCTGTGCTGAGTGCCCGCTGTGCCCACCCGGGTGTCCGAGGGTGCACAGATGTGGATATGTACAAAACATACACATTTATATATAAATATAAAGGCATCTCCGCCCGTGCCTTTGCCCACTCGGGCTCGGACACTGGTGGGTGTGGGGGTGCCGCTGCAGGGCGGGCTCCCCTCGCTGTGTTTTGGGGTCCTGCTCCCCTACTGCTCCTCCACACCCCCAAAACTCTCCCGGGCACATCCCCGCAGCTTTGGCTCTTGAGCACGACCTCAAATAACACGAAAGGAGGGTGAGCCCACGGCCAGGCGAGGCTTTGCTCTCGCGTGGGGCCTAAATTCACCCAACCCCCGGCTGGCGAGGGGGCAAACCGCGGGGAAAAGGGGGAAACGAGCGAATGGAACAGGGATGGGGGGAAAAGGGGCAAATGAGCGAATGGAACAGGGATGGGGTGGGAAAGGGGCAATGAACGAATGGAACAGGGATGGGGTGGAAAAGGGGCAATGAGCGAATGGAACAGGGATGGGGTGGGAAAGGACAAATGAGCGAATAGAACAGGGATGGGGTGGGAAAGGGGCAATGAACGAATGGAACAGGGATGGGGTGGGAAAGGGGCAAACCAGCGAATGGAACAGGGATGGGGTGGGAAAGGGGCAATGAACGAATGGAACAGGGATGGGGTGGGAAAGGGGCAAAGGAGTGAATGGAACAGGGATGGGGTGCAAGGGGAGCAGCGTGGCGCTTACCTGCTGGGTGAAGGCTGCCTGGGGTGAGGTGGGTGACTTGCTGGTGTTGCCCAGCTGCGTGTCCTGCTTGCCCTCGGCCTGCAGCTCCTTGGCCTCCGGATCGGCCGGCGTGCTGGGCAGCCCGAAGCCTTCCTCGCTATCCGCCATGTTACGAGCTTCCTTCGCCGAATCCCCCACTGCAGGCACACGTCGGGAGAGAGCAGAGATAAGAGACGCACAAGTCAATGCTGACGTTTAATAAAAGATAGATTTTGATCGGGCGGGGTGGCTCCGAGCGAGAGCAGCGCCGGCCGGGGCTGCCCCGACCATCCCAACACTCACTTTAACACTCACAAGGCCCTTTAACTTTGGGAGAGGGAGAAATAAAGACTTTTATTTATTATCGCAGCCCGCAAGGGATGATAGGATTTGGGGGGGGCTGGGGGGGGGTGTGGGGGAGGGAGGGGAAGGGGGAGGCGGTATTATTGAATGCATCTTTTGGAAAAGGTAAACAGCGCGTTTTTAGGGCTGCCTGGCAGCACGCGGGGAGCGAGGCACCCGAGGAGCTGCGGAACGAGCAGCGAGCGGCACAAACGGAGCTCTGGAGCCCCCACCTCGAATCCCCCCGACCTCCAGAGGCTTGGCCACCTCCAATTCCTCCCGGCTCGCTGCGGCCCGGGGGATTGAAAGTCCCAACTTTCCTCTCAGGGAAGTGGAAGCGTTCACCCCGCTCCGGTTTGGAGCAGGAAAACGCCACTGACACACGAGGCCGCTTCTAGCACCCAATTCCCAAGGAAAATTCAACTTTTTGCACCTCTTATAAAGCAGGAAAAAATTTTAAAAGCCTGTTCTTCTCTTAGCCCGGGCAGTTACAAGAAAAGCAAAGGATGGACGAGAAAATTATAATATAAAAATGCAAATAAATCAATCGGACAAACGCTGTGCGAGGTAACGAGGACTCGGGCTGGTGAACGGGAGGTGGAATTGGGGCTGGAGTGAACTAAGCCAAAACATTTAGGATAAAACTGCACCAGCAGAGAAAACGAGCTTAAAAACGAGCTTTATATCTGATGTGAGTAACCGCAGTGAGTTTTAAAACTGCATTTTGACTTAGCTTTAAAGGTCTATCAGGAATGGTAAAAGTTTCATAGCAACACACACACAAAAAAAAAATCCACCAAAAAAGATAAAAGCCATGGAATTATCTGTTAGGTTTTTATTGTTTTTAAGGAGTTCGGAGCTTTAGAAAAATATTTCTTGCATGTTTCAAAGAAGGGGATTCAGTTCTGAAAGGCCAACCATATGGAGGCAATATTGGGTTTAAATACATGAGAATGTTGTTAAATGAGTTCCTCGCCCTGCAACGATATTTGAAAGCTGCTCAAAATCAAGCAGAGAGAGCGAGAAAAAGGCAATTCTCCTTTAAAAGCGAAGGAAAATTGGGATTGGAAGGGAGGGGGGAGAAAATGATCTTCCCCGCTAGTGGTGGGGAACGCACACACGGACGGATATAGAATTTAAAAGGACAAAAAGCGAGGGGACTCCAGGTCCGCACCCCTGGGGCTGCAGCTCGTGCGGACACGGCCCGTGCCCGTCCCTCCCTCCTTCCCTCTCTTCCCAAAGGTTTTTTCCCGGCCCCGGAGCCGAGAAAGGCGAAGCGAAAGCGCGGAAAGTGCGCGGGGCGCTGCGGGAGCCGCCGCGCCGGGCCCGGGCCCAGCCCGTGGGGGCAGAGCCGCAGCTCCAGGGACCATTTAAGGATTTTCTCTTCCCCTCCTCCTCCTCCTCCTTTTTTTTTTTTTTTTTTTTTTTTTTTTCCTCCTGAACTGTTGTGGTGTCTTGTTTGTTTGGGTTTTTTTCCTTGCTTTGGGAAGTGCCGCTTATGCATTTTTTAATCGATTTCCCTCCAGCTTGGAGCTATGGTTCCCCTAGAGCTGGCAAGGTTAGGGGGTAGAGCGAGGGAAAATAATAATAAAAAACCCTAAAGCATGTTTATTAAAACAAAGAGGGACCCAGCCATGGCAGCGCAGCCCAGCCCAGCGAAGCCTCCTCGATGCTCTCCGTGCCCAGACATAATTAAGCAGATATAAAAATATTCATAATTTTAAAAACAGAGGGTGTGACGACAAAAAATAACCCCACAACTAAGAGCATTTGGCGATCCGTGGCTTCTAATTTCTTTTTTTTTTTTTTTTTTCCCCTTAAAAGAGCTTCTGAGAAGAAATGGAGCTTGACAGAACCAGGCCGCGGTGGCTGGATGAAAAATGCATCTCGCTTTGCTAAAGTAGCGCCGAGTCGGGTTTGCGAGAGGAAAAAGCTCAAGAGGGGGGGGGAAATTTTATAAAATAAAATAAAATAAATAAAATCATCACCCTCTGCTTTTGTTCCGGGCCCCCCACCCAGCCCCGAGGAGCGCTGGGCAGAGCAGCCCCCGCTGCTTTCCCCGCCGCTCCCGAGGCCTCGCGGTGCCCCCGGGCAGCCGCTCTCGCTGTGCCTCGCTCACGCACCCGCACACACGGAGGACAGACCGACCCCGACGGACAGACATGGCAATGGAAGAGCCGTTACCTTGCTCGTTGAGTTCCATGCAATCAATGCATCTCCACATATATAATGTGTGGCTCTATTTCCCCCGTTTGCAATGGAAATTACAATGGGATCAGGCTTCTCGTGTGCATATTTCCTTTTATTTATTTATATTTGCGGATCAGCATGTGAAAACCCAGCCTGGAAGAAAAAAATCTATCCAATGCAAGCCTGCTTCTCTCTCTCTCTCTCTCTCTCCCCTGCTCTCTCCAAACACTTCCAGGTTGTCAGACGCGCTAGAAAGGATCCTGAGACCAAGATAAAGCCCCCGCCCCCACCCTTTTCTCAGCCTGATCTGATGCAGTTCTCCCCAGCCCACTCTTGCTGCTGCCCAGCTAAAAAGAATTTAAAAATTAAAAATAGTCATTAAAAAAAATTAAAAAAAAAAAAAGAGAGAGCGCGAGAGGGCGAAAGAGCGGAAAAAGAAAACAGCACCCTCTCGGAAAAAAAAAAAAAAAAGAAGAAGAAAAAAGTTTCTGGCGGCTGGTGAGCCCCGCTCCTCCGGGCAGGTTCGCGGCGCTGCCGCCGTGCGCGGAGCCGGGCGCGGAGCGCGGAGGAGCCGAGCGGAGCGCGGAGGTGACGTGGGCTCGTCCAGCTCCGCTCGCCAAGTGCCGGGACCCACTGCCCAACCAGCTGGGATCCTGCTCCGGAGAGACTCCCTCTCCCACAGCCCTCCCTCCCGCCCCCTCCCCCCCAAACCTCCTTTTCCAGCCTATTTTTCTGGCCGGCAAACAAGAACAAGGCACAAAGACAATCATCAAACTCCCCAGCAACCCTCCCCCTCTCCTTTACCTCCTTCCCCGCTCCCTCCCTCCTTCCCTCCCTCCCTCCTCCATCCATCTCTCCCAACCAAAGAGAAAATTCAGCGTCTGGGAATATCCTGCCCCCCCAGCCCTAAATAAATCGCTGGCTGCGCTAACTTCGCACCACCCCCAGTTCCCCCTCCCGCCCTCAAAGGCAGACCGGAGGTGTGGATTTAAACCCGGCTCTAAATTTGCTGCTGCTCACAGAGGCCTTTTATTGGGGGGTGCGGGGTGTTCCCCTAAAATAGACTTTCCTAATGAGTGCAACCCCCAAAAAAACCGCGGAGCAGCGGGAGCGAAGGCCCCGGGCAGTGTGCGCGGGGCTGTGTCCCTTGTCCCCGCTTGTGGCCGCATCCAGGCTCCTTCCCCTGCCCTTTGCCATCCTCTTCCTCACCCCTGGCCGCGCTGCCACGGCCGAGGGCCGCAGCCCCCCGGAGCTCAAATAATCAAGCCGTCAGCGTGGAGAGGGGCTGCGGGTTTATCTGCATCTTCCTTCGCTCTCTCTTTTTTTTTTTTTTTTTAATGTATTATTGGGAGGGTAAAGTTGAATAGGTCAGCGCAGGGTAAACAGCCTCCCTGTCGCATTCTGCAGGCTGAAGAGAACCAGATTGGCGAGGCGGATTTTTGATAAGACTCGGAATAAATGGCATGGTTCAGATCTGCTCTGCCCACCCTCCTCCTCCTCCTCCTGCTGCTGCTGCCCCCACCCTCTGCTCGCCGCTCTGTCCCATCAAAAAAAAAAAAAAAATCTCTCACTCTTTTCTGCCTCTCAGACAATTTCTCTCTTTTTGTTTTTTTGGTGGTTTTTTTGGCGTTTCGAGGAAGTTTTCAGCAAATCCACCCTCGCTCCCAGCTCTCGCAGGGCGCGATAACACCGGAGCCCTCTGAAAGTTTGAGGTGAGGAAGGGGAAAGTCTGGGGGCTCTGAGCGGCTCTCGGGGAGGGGGGTGCGGCTGCGGGTGTAGTTTGGCATCTCCCAAACCCTTCCCATGTGCACGCCAGTCCCAGCAGCTACTTGAGAAGAAACAGCCAACAGTAAACGCTCGCAAATAAGAATAATAAAATAACTGCACTTGTAGCCGCAGAGAATAAGCCAGAGAATGCTACTTAAACAAACAGAGCGAAGCTTGTCCCATATTTCATTATTTTTCGAGGGGAAAGGAGCCGTGGAGCCCTTCCAAACACAAATAAACGAGGCAGCAAAGCGGGCGCTCGTTGCCCTGCGGGGAATGCGGTGAGGAAGCCCCGGCCTGGGGCGAGCGAGGGCTCCGAGGAGCCTTTCCCTGGCCTGGGCTCCGCTCCGAGAGGTGCAAAGCCGGGGGAAAGCGGGGAAAGGCAGTGGGGACAGGCGGGCCGGAGGTGCGGGGGAAGCCGCACGGGGAACACGCGGGGAGCGCGGCCGGCCCCGCACCGCACGCGTGCCGCCAGCATCCCCGAAAGGACAGCGGGCATTACTTAAAAAAACCAAGCAAAAGCAACGAGGAGAAAGGTTTCTGACAGAGAAAAAATAGCTTCCCTCCCCTGGGCGGAAAGGAAGGGAGAAGTGAAAATGCTGAAGTTCGGAAGAGCGAACCCGAGCACGGCCGCTGCCTAGAAAAGCACTCACCTCTCCAGTGCCAAACTAGCTCTCAAACACCTTGAAGACAAGTTGAAAACGATGCAAATAAATCGAATTTATTTCCGTCTGCAGGTTGGGGGGGGAGGAGTGGACAAGGAGGGAAAGAAAAAAATAAAAAGAGAAAAAAAAAGAGAAAAAAAAAAAAGAGGGAAAAAAATTAAAAAAAAAAAAAAAAGCAGCTGGGGAAAAAAAGAACGGCCAATTCAGGCTCCCCCAGGACTGGAAGGGCAAGGCGAGGAGCCTTCCAGCTCGAAGCCGGTTTGTGGTCTCAGACAAATTAAATATTACTGTTTATTACCAGCCATACTCCGATAAAATAAAGAGAGTTGAAGGCGATAGCTGCTATCTCACGAGCTTTGCTCCTATAGGACACGGAGACGTCACCAACCACGCAACTGGCCTATTCTGTCATGGTTGACTGCAGCAGTAATGGAAGGTTAATTTGTATTATTCTCCTCTTTTTAAAGCTCTATCAGGGAGATTCCTGTGCCTTTTTTTTTTTTTTTTCTTTCCAAAAAGAAATCCATTCGGTGAAATGCAAAATAACCGTGGCTGGGTGTGTGCGACCTCTGTATGATGTATGTTTATATATATAAATATAGATACTCACGAGGCAGACTTAGACATGAGGGTGTGAGGGGTTTTATAGCATATCCGAGCAGGCACGGAGCCGCTGGAAACGTCAGGGAAACCCCCTCATCCTCGAGCAGAAAAGGGGGAAAACAGAAGCAAAACTCCCTCTTCACCACAACTTAAATAATCCAACGGGATTGGCATTATTCAGCTGAATTTCTTTTTCTAAACAAATAATTCTGTGAGAGTGAGCAGGAAACTTGTCCAATGAACGCTCAGGCGCCTCTGGAAGCAAGCACGCTGGGCTATATATAGTAAATGATAACCTGGTTATTTGCACGGATTCAAGTGTGCTTCGGGAACCAATTATTTGCTCTGATTAAATAAAAAATATAGGGGAAAAAATGGGGGGGGGGGGGGGGGGGAAAGTAGCAAGACCAGGCGATTATTTGCCAAATGAGATTGACAAGGGGAAAAAAATAAAATCAAAACCGTCCAGATCCCTCCAAGTGCAGCCAGAGATGCCGCTGGCGCTGCCCCGTGTCCCAGCTCTCCCTTAATCTGGAGGAATTTTAGGATGCACACGCGGTGGTAGCAGGAAGATTTCACTCAAATTAAAAAAAAAAATTAAAAAATAAGAGGAAAAAATAAAAGGAAAAATAAAATAAAAGAAAAATGCACACACACACATAGAGAAAAAGGTGCTAAAGCGTTTTTTCCTCCGACAGAAAAAGAGAGGAGGAGGAACAGGGAGCGAGGAATTAAAGAGCAGCAGCCAAGGAAGAGCGAGGGGACGTGCGGGAGCCAAGGTGAGTTCCCAGCGGGCATCGCAGCACCCCCGGCCCTGCCCTGAGCCCCCCGGCCCAGCTCCGCGGGCTCTGGAGGAACCAGGCCCGCCGGAAAAGCACCAGCAAGGATGGAGGAAAAAAATTAAAATTAAGGGGGTTAGGGAGGAAAAGGCCCCTTTAACCCCGGTGCGCCCCGTTTGCTGGATCTGGCCGTGCCAAATGTCCGGGATGGAAGGAAAAAAAAACCCTGAGAGAAGGGAAAAACCCACCGAGGATGGTTCTCCAGCTGGCACCGAGCGCCCAGAGTGCTGGCAGCGGAGCAGGATAGGACCTCCCGCAAAACGAGAACTCAAATATTCTCCCCCGCAGCCGGCATCACCTCCTGGTGTCCCCTGAGGTCCCCCCGCAGCCCTGAGAGACGGGAATCGCTTCCCTTGCTCGCTCCCGGCCTCCGAGGCTGGAGCAGCGCGGGTCCTGCTGCTGCTGCTGCCGGGGAATGAGAGACACAGCCGGGAGAGGGAGGATCAGGGGCCCCAGAACCGGCACACGCAGGAATGCCGATAAAACCACCCGAAAATACAGGTATTTAAGGGAAATGCAGGTATTTTATGGAAATACAGGTATTTAAGTACAGATGTGCACACATGAGTGCGGACACCCCAATGCAAACACGCCCCCGCACACGATGCCTCTTCGCTCAAGCCTTTAAGCGATTTTTATATCCCATTATTCCGTATATTAATTATTTGGTATCTTTAGGCTAAACGTGCAGTGTGACCTCACGAGTGCTGAGATCCAGGAGTTTCCTCGTGAATAAACGCGGCTGTTTGTACACGGAAAGACCCCCAGGCACAGCACAAAACCCGCGTGTGTGGATGTGCAGGTGATGAGATCTTCACAAACACTTGCCCAACAGCTCGAACCATCCCTGCCCCATCCGCCGTTTGGTTTTATATGGATATTTCCATTTTACCCGGGGTTTAGAGAGGGATTTTTGGGTGCACACAAGCCTTAATCTGCCCCCACCCTCCTCACAGCTCAGTGGGAGTGGGCGCAAATCTGCGCACCAGCAGAAGGCGGGCGAGCAGACCAGCGTGGATGCACCGCCTATGCACCATATATATATAAATATATATTTATATATTATCTAGAAATACAAATCCCCCGCCGCATTTTCCAGCAGCCACGGCCCCCAACACCGTGCAGCACTTACCTGGCTGGGGGTGGCGTGTGTGTGCCTG